CTACAATCTTGTATAAGTAATGAAAATACAGTCAGAGCCAATACCTAACTATTTTGAAATCGGATCGGGTGAAGCAAAACAGAACCTAAGAAACCAACCCTTTTGCCCTTGGGCTGACGACTTGGCTCCCTGAAAAAATGGCAAATGTTTCAATTGTCAGTTCAAAATTGTACGCAGGCCAATGCCATGAATGATCATCTCGTTAAAAAAAAATTGCATTTACTATCATGGTATTCTCTATCCGCTTATAGTCCTTCATCTCGTAAAAAAATCCAGATATTGAGGTATCCCATCCTGCCCCTAGACAGAATAATGCTGGCCACCAACCATAACCGCTTTCTTCCCAAATCATAATAATAGTACTCATTTTCTATAATCCACCATCCAGTGAGACGCTCCCATTCATAAATATCAGTTCTCTAGAGAGACCGCTCAGTGCTATACTTTCGTGATCGCCACGCAACAAAAATGCGGAAGCAAAATGTAATATACCACCATAATCAATACCAACAAGCTCCTTTCATGTGGTTCCACCATCAAATATCATAGTAGAGAAGAAAGAAATTCAATGTGCGTAAATGTTAAAAGAAATAAACCTCAATCCATGATTCATGCGAGTAACTCAACATCCAGTCCGATAGAACGCATGAAGAGGTTAACATTTGCGAGTCGTTGAATAGACATAGCTGGAGGTAGTGTCTTTGCAAGCCCAACAGTTTCCATAACACGATCCTTGACAGCCATAACTAGACGTTGTTGCTGTTCCGGATTGGCACCGATACCAATAGCGGCAAGGAACTGCCAAACATATACATCTTCGCCGGTGTTAACAGTACCAGGGAAAATCTCTGGGAGGGTAGGCTCAAGAGCATCGAAAAATGCATTGTGAGTGGATAACCTAAGGGAGATGTTAGGGTTTTACTAATACAGGGTAGGCCATTACTCACCAGTCATTCCATCCACGTTCATCAACATCTCCAGCTTGCTTGGTGATCTCAGCCCGACTGAGAATCATAGTCAATAGACTTAGACCAATTCTAGTACGTGCAATCAAATCAATGTTAAGATTAAGGATAAGTCCCAAAACACCAGTAGTGATTTGGAAATCAGCATCGTGAAGGAATCCAAATAGGCTCGACATGACTGTGACTTGGAATAGATCAATGTTTTCACGAGTCTCAGCACTGAGTTGAATTCCGTCAGGGCTAGGCACAGCCAATCGAACGACGTCAAGTTTATCAAGATGAAGAATAATCATGGTCAAGATGGTAGCGCGTTGCTCATCAGAGATATGCCTGAAAACTCGAGGAATTGCCTTTTTGCCCTTATTAAATGAAAGGAAGGCAATGAAAGGATGAACAGTAGTTGCGCCAATTGGTTCATGAATCCTCAAATTACGCCATAATTGTCTGTTGAGGAATTCTTGACGTTCATTCCAGTCTTGATTCAACCCGGCAATTTGTGGGTTGATCTCTTCATGACCTAGTGGTCTGGGTTTTGAGCGTTCATGGTCCTCCAGCTCCATTAATGTGTTGTACACGTTCTCAATATCAGTCAAGATAGACTTTCTATTGCTACCACTGACGAGGTTGGCCTTGCGAGGGTTTGGTGAACTTCCAGGTCTTGGTTCATTACTATCGGTTCGTTTGATATTTAACAGTGGCTTAGGTGTCTTTGCGTTGCTGAACGAGATCTTTCCTAAACTTCCTTCAATGACCAATTGCTTGTTCTTTGGCTTGTTCTTTGCAGCCTCCACAGCTCGTTGCACTTGCTGTTCCATGCGTTGGACATGGTTGTCGCCACCACGAGCTTGTCTTCGCATGTTATTATGACGATTGCCGGTTTGGAAAAGATACGTTTGTGCGAAGTTGCTCAGAGGTTGATGCGGGTTTTGGCGCGGTCCACCTCGAATCTGGCTATGAACTTGATAATAGAAGTCCTCGGAAAGAGAAGAATCTATGCCATGCTCATTTGGGTTTCCAGTAGCAGTGACCAATTGCTGCAATTGAATGCGAGTAATGAAGTTTTTGTCTTGGGGCGTCATCAAGCCATTGTCCTTCGACAACAAAAATATCTTGTGATTTCGCTTTGCTCTCTTGGCATCTTCCAACAAGAATGCGGCCCGCTCTTCTTCAGATAAGTTTACCAACTGTTGTGGGTGTGTGATAACGTGTCGATTTCCAGAAGCATGTGGGTGATGGTGGCCACGTTGCCCACCGTGGGGCTGGTTAGGAAATCGGTTCATATTTTGCATATGTGCCGGTTGGATTGGGATAGATGAAACGTTTGCCTGGCTCGTTGGAACTTGGGGACGTTGCAAAATGTGAATTTGTTGCTCAACAGGAAGCTGGCGTTGTTCCGATTGAGGTGGCGCACTGGCTTGAATCGGGAATTGCTGTTGTGGAGCTTGTAATGGCGCTTGTTGGTGGAAATTTTGATATTGTTGTGGCGGGGGCTGTTGATATTGTGGTTGAGATGGTGGCATTGGTTGTTGCTGAACAGGGACTTGAGGTTGCGATGGCTTCTTAGCTTGAGCTCTCATGGCTGCTTCCACTTCTTCCAAACTCATCATCTTTCGGCTCGGTGCAGAAGTACCGGCAGCTGGAGGAGTGGCGGCTTTTGGAGCTTGTTTTGGAGCGACACCCCAAAGATTTGCATCCACTTGCATATCAGGAACATATTCTGACTCTTGATATCTCTCATAGCCAGTTCTAGCGGGTCTTGACGTATTTTGTTGAGAGTATGAAGATGCGGCTGGAGTTGTCCTAGATACTACTGGTTGTTGGCGGGTGTATCGCATTTGTTCCTCATTGATAGCATCGGAGACCTTTGCCGTTTGTCCAAAAAAGTCAAAGTTGTTTCCAACTGGCTTGCTTGCAATAGGATCGCCTGCACCGCCACCAAAGGTATCATCATTGAAATCATCACCGGTTTCTTGAAGCTGGTCTCCTAAACCATCATATGTATCCTCGAAATCGAATCTGCAGGGTAGAAATATTAGCTTTTCGTTCTTGATCAAAGTCAAATGGAGAAATGTCCACACGAAACGTACGCTTCATTATCGTTGCCTGTGCCAGAAAGACTTGCAAATGGATCCGCATGTTGACCAAAACCCGGAGCAGCAGTGTTATGGCCCCTCTCATGAGGAGCTTGACTGGGATCAAATCCAAAGAAAGACATGATTAAAGAAATCGCAAAGCCGTGGTTTCCATTAATAAGATACGAAGATCAAGAAAGTATTTGACGCGTGAAGTTGTAATTCCAAAGATCAATTCTTTTCTTTGAGTCTCGAAGAAAAGGGTAGATCAAAATAGATAGATAATACAAGCTCCAATGATTTGGTGAAACAAAATTGTTGGTGAGCAGTGGGTGAGTAGTAAGAAGTTGAATAATACAACGAACACAAGGGAGAAAGAAAGAAAGAAAGAAAGAAAGAGAGCAGTCTTTTTTATTTTTTTGGAGGTTTTCGTTGAGTTGGTGGGATGATTGAAGGTGACGAGATGGAAAGGTGGAGGAGGATGGAAGATGTTACTACTCGTAGAAGGGAATAATAAAGCTTCAAAAATTAAGCGTGGGTGGTAGCTGATATGGGTGAAAGGTCCAAGTCAAGTGGGGTGGGGTAGAGAAGAGAGAAGACAGAGGAGAGAAGAGAGAAGTAAGAAAATTGATGCCTTGTTTCTAGCCTTGCGGTCCACCAATCCTGGCCTGGGTCTAGATGAACTGAAATCGAGCGCAGCGAGCTGTGGGGGTTTGGGGGCTTGCCCTCATGATCGTAAGTATCACATATACTGGTACCGGTAGATAATAATCATATCAGTAAACAAAGAATGACGCTCCGCTGGCCCTCTGGGAGCCACTGCCGTGGAGGCAGACTAGGTAGATAGATTATAGGAAGCTCTCAACCGACATCTACATGACAGCGGATCGTGATGTTTGGACCATACAGAGTAATGCCCAATTTATAACTGAAATTATATATAGTCAATAAAATGCTAAATCGTGAAGTATTTAGACCTTTTCTACTAATAGATGTGAGGTACTAGAAGCCTCTCCTTTATATACCTAGTAGGTACCAGTCAAGAAAGCATCTATCATTGTTTGTCAAAATCGTCAAATAGTATCAAGTATATATATATATATATCAGATGGTTACTTGCATCAACATCATGTTTTTCTCCATTAGATCTTGGAATCTTTTTACACTGTATTAATAAAAGGTCCTCGTCGACCTCCTTCTCTCACCATATATGTACATACCAAGAGCCACGAACCATTTGACTGTGCCACTCTTCCAAGGGCTTGATTGTCTCGTATTAACAAACTTTATCTGGGGGAAGCTACTCGTAAAGGTCCTCAATCATAATAACAGCAACTCATAAGGCAATTCCAAGCCGGCGGGACCTTAGATTTAGTCCCTTATTATCGCCTCAAAGCAAATGGGAAATCCTCCCTTGCGTAATCTTTCCAGAAAAAGAATCTAAACCAGGATAAATTTGGGCTAGAACGAATAAATCTTACTCGATTATAATTTATATGCTTTTTTTGGCTTTGGGAACACGCAAGTACTAGGTACATCAGGTACACTTACCTATTACTTCCTTACTGTACACGAGAAAGATTGACCTCCTTTATTCATATTTACACGTACCTCTCTCCATCTATCCTCTTCTCCCATCTTCAACTTCTTCTACATTGTATTGTGTGTTTGTTATTTCACACAATTTCTATCATTTGTTCCTTTTCTTCTTCTCCCTCTGCTTCTCCATTTTCTTCTTCATTGGAATTTAATCATATCTTCATAACATTGAAGGTTCAATTAAAAGAGAGAGAGAGAAAAGACCACTTGCTTTCACGACTTTCGATTCGTTTGCGGCTAAAAGGAGTCTACAACTGCTGAAGATTCCATTCGTGTCCAATTGGTTAGTGAAATAACTGTTGGATTTATGAAAGCCGCATCAACGAGAGTTTCAGAAATCTCGACGTAATAAACTTATTTCATCATGGCTACTGGAACAGCCAGATATTTGAGATACATTCTCTTTGCATTCTTTGTGAGTATTTTCCGAGGATATTTTTGGGATACCAGAAAGTCCTTTGGATCCACCTGTTAATGATTTTTCTCCACAGGGTCTCGCCATCGTCTACTTTATATCATCTTCATCAGACCAAAGGTTACAGACTGCACAGCAAGTCTTCACTGATAAAACCGGTATTCCTACCAAGGCAGGCACTTCACCAGGTCACTCTGCTGAAGATTCGACGAAATCCGATGCTAAGACTTCTCCAAATACTCATGATCTTCCACCTGCGACCATTCCAGGAGAGCGTATGAATGCGACATTCGTCACTTTGGCAAGAAACTCGGATATTTGGGAGATTGCACGATCCATTCGTCAAGTTGAGGATAGATTCAACAAGAAATTCAATTACGACTGGGTTTTCTTGAACGACAAGCCATTTGATGCCACATTCAAGAAGGTGACCGCATCCCTTGTTTCCGGAAAGACTCATTATGGAGAGATCCCAGAGAAACATTGGTCATTCCCTGACCATATCGATACCGACAAGGCTCGCAAGGTCCGTGAAGATATGGCACAAAGAAAAATCATCTATGGAGATTCTGTTAGTTATCGCCACATGTGTCGCTTCGAATCTGGTTTCTTCTTCCAACAAGAATTGATGCTGAACTACGAATGGTACTGGAGAGTCGAGCCATCCATTGAACTTTTCTGCGATATCGATTATGATGCTTTCAAATTCATGGCCGACAACAAGAAGAAGTACAGTTTCGTTTTGAGTCTTTACGAATATGTCGAGACTATTCCAACTTTGTGGGACAGTGTCAAGAAGTTTATCAAGGCCCATCCAGAGCACATTGCCGAAGGCAACTCAATGGGTTTCCTTAGTGATGATGGTGGCGAAACTTACAACCACTGCCACATGGTAAGTTCTGGTCATACAATAATGAGTTGCGTGAATCTTTACTAATACAATATTATAGTGGTCTAACTTCGAAATTGGTAACCTCAATTGGCTTCGATCAAAGGCTTACACGGATTACTTCGAGCAACTCGACCAAGATGGAGGATTTTTCTATGAACGTTGGGGTGATGCACCAGTCCACTCCATCGCTGCAGGTCTTCTTTTGAAGAAAGAAGAAATTCATTTCTTCAACGATATTGCTTATTACCATGTTCCTTTCACCCATTGTCCAACAGGGGAGCAAACAAGACTCGATTTGAAGTGCCACTGCAATCCAAAGGATAACTTTGATTGGAAAGGATACTCATGTAAGTCTTCTTCTTCTTTTCAAATATGACATTGTCCTAATTATTCAATAGGTACATCACGATTCTTCGATATCAATAAGATGGAGAAGCCAGAAGGATATGAAACCCAACAAGACTAGAGTCATAGTCTAAATTTACTATAGTATTCGTGTTCGAATGCATTTTCTAGGGAGTAGCATTGGTGGTTTGGGGATCGATGATATATCTACTAGGTACTATTTGGCATGATAGGAAAGGGGGTACGGGCGTTTTGCATGGGGTAAAAATCCAATTGAAACGCTGTATATGTTAGGATGGCCTGGGATAGGATCTGGCTTGGGAAGTAACATCTCTTGGTTTCTTATCAGGTGGTAGACAAATTTTGAGATAGATTTTTACATCAAAGCAATGTCTGCATAGTGAGAGAAATTATATACTCTTTTTGTATAATGTCTAAGTCCATGATTGTACATACCTGACACCAGAATTACCTGGGCACCCCTCTATGGCGAAATGTGATTTTAGCCACATCACGTGATATAAACAGCCACATCAATCACAAGTCTTGGCAATATCGAAAGCTTTCTCTTCCCTCACCTTCTCGTCGTCGTCGAACACGATCATTCAACGATCCCCGCGCTCAGTCCTCACAATGGCCGCCTCAATACTACAACGGTTCTTGATGCCGTCCATACGATCAAAAACCTCAACCTCTACGCCTCGTCCTACTACACAATTCATCACGAATCAGCTCAAATCAATCACAATCTCCTCATCGCGGACATTCTCCTCAACCCCCTCCCACGCCGCAACATACAACCAGGTCCGTCGCGGCTGCCGCACTGCGCAAGCTATGCGTAAATCTGTTTCTCCTGCCTTGTCGACAGTCCAGGCACCAGCACTCAAGGGTGTAGCATTAAAAGTCGGAATCACCAAACCAAAGAAACCTAACTCGGCAGAACGTAAAACTGCCAGAGTTAGATTGAGTACAGGAAGAGTGGTTACGTGTTATATTCCGGGTGAAGGACATAACGTCCAACAGCATAGTGTGGTATTGGTCAGAGGAGGAAGGAGTCAAGATTGTCCGGGTGTGAGATATCATTTGGTTAGAGGAGCGGGAGATTTGGTGAGTAGATTTGTTTTCTGTTTTTTGTTTTTTTGTTTTTTGTTTTTTGAGAGTTCTAGGAGGAAATTGGATTGGTATGCTGTGTATTTGGGAAGTCAAATATAATGGAAAGAATGGGGAAAAATGTCATGACGTCTTGAATCTATACTAATGTATTCGCAATCATAGGGAGGTGTAGGAAACAGAGCAACATCACGGTCGAAGTATGGAACGAAGAAACCAAAGAAGGCGACTGCATGAGCGTGTTGATGTAGGATCAGTCGGAGGGGAAAGATGAAATTTAGAGAAACATTCATTCCAACAAAGAGTTAGAGAATGAACGATAATATATCGAACGGGAAGAGAACTATAGCCACTGGAATACATGGAGGCATCAAACGAGCCTCTAGGTGGTCTATACAGGATTGACAGCTTCGTGATTTGGGGACATCGAGAGCGATTGTACATTACACAAAATTTCAACGAGCTATGCATAAATATGGATGAAATCAAATGTTCAGTGGAACATGCTGGAGAACAACATTCCTCAATTGGTCTTGAGTTAAGTGCCTGTGGGAAGCTATTTCAATTTTCAACCCACTCAGAAGACGGATGAAGTATACAGATACTTGTGGCTTCAATGATTGACTCGCCTTTGGGCACTTGAATAACATCACATCACCTACTTTTATGCAGAACTTACATTGGCAGAAGGGAAGTCAAATACGCCATTGATCGACATCTAAATCCGTATTCAAAATCAAGGAGCATTTCGGTCCGGAGAAACTTATTGTCTCTTTCCCTTCAGAATCTGATGCAAGGACATGAAGCTATACCACAAGCGTGTCTAAATGCTTCCGTCCGAATAATCCGGTTGGTGCGCAAGACATTGACATGTTTCTCCACCAAGATCAACGTTTTTCTGGCGTTCTGGCCTGGCGTCATTTTTACTTTGTATTATTTCATCAAAACTTTCCGGGGCAGCTCGGTCGGGAAAATGTCATTGCTTTTAGCCAAATGAAATGCTCCGTTGTAATGAAGAATCTGGCGAGTCTGGTTGGTTGTATGGGTCGAGTGACGATCGTGTACATTGTTTACCCCGCATGTTGTGGTTCGGAGTTGAACCTTTATACGTGCCTGTGCCTGGGAATTCCCAGTACTTGGCACATATCATGGTTTAAGTAGAGAAATTAATTTTCGCACTGCGGTGAGTGATGTGTACTTATACGGACAGGGCATTGGAGCTTTCTATTCGGAGAATGATATGCAGGTCGGTGAGGGGGAAGTTGGCGAAAGTGGATAAACTTCTTCGTATCCATAGGTATTGTATATAAAGGTTACTTCCGGTCTATCTTCGCCTTGTTCTTGTTAAGGTACTTTATCTTCAATTACATGTGTGTGATTAAAGCTGCAATTGCAATTGGGATATTGCAATCATGAGGTTTCTACATGCTTTTACGGCAGTTGCCTGCGCGGCTCAAGCTGCAGCATTGTCAATTAATATTGGTGGTGAGAAAATGGTTGTGGAGAGAGATGCTGCACTTCAGGATGTTGTAAGTTTTGACATATATTGACGTCCCTTCCTCAAGAATTGGATCAAATACCGGTCAATTGAGCTACCAATGCATATTACAAAAGCTAATTCAATAGGTCACATATGATGAACACTCTCTCAAAGTATACGGAGAACGCATATTTGTCTTCTCAGGAGAGTTCCATCCCTACCGCCTGCCGGTCCCTGATCTATGGCTTGATATATTCCAGAAAGTGAAATCACTTGGATTCAATACAATTTCCTTTTATGTCGATTGGGCATTACTAGAGGGAAACCCAGGACACTACACTGCAGATGGAGTGTTTGCTTTCGAACCCTTCTTTGATGCCGCAAAGAAAGCGGGTATCTATCTCATTGCTCGTCCAGGTCCTGTGAGTTCATATTTCTCTATCTTCCAACTCTAATCTCGTACTAATACATGGCAATACAGTATATCAATGCTGAGGTTTCTGGAGGTGGATTCCCAGGATGGCTTCAACGTGTGAGTGGTGTTCTGCGATCTCAAGCTTCAGATTATCTGAAAGCAACCGACAACTATATGGCAAACATCGCCAGTCTAATCGCCAAATACGAAATCACAAAAGGAGGACCAATTATTCTATATCAACCAGAAAATGAATACTCAGGATACTCAGGATATGTTCCAGGTGGATGGCCAGATCCAGTTTACTTTGCATACGTGAAGAAACAAGCTAGGGACGCGGGTGTTACGGTGCCATTTATCAGTAATGACGCTTGTAAGTTATTGTTCTTTCCTCTCAAATCATGCGACATCCACGAGGAAGAGAGAGTTTTGTGGTGCTGGTCTTGACAGAGCTAACATTAAACAGATGCGGGTGGACATTTTGCACCAGGTGACGTGGTTAATGGAACTACCATTGGAGATGTTGATATTTACGGTCATGATTCTTATCCATTAGGATTTGATTGCGCTCATCCAACTACCTGGCCTGCTGGAAACTTACCGACTTATTTTGCGGCGAGTCATGAGCAACAAAGTCCAAGTACATTCTATTCCATCAACGAATTCCAAGGTGGTGCTTTTGATCCCTGGGGTGGTCTTGTGAGTCTCTTTTCTTGCAAATTATTTGCTGTCACTAAACTTTAACAGGGATTCGAAGCATGTGCTCAACTCTTGAATGAACAATTTGAGAGAGTCTTCAACAAAAATGATTTTGCTTCAGGTGTTGCTCTTTTGAGTTTATATATGATCTGTGAGTCTTGGATGTTATGGAACATGAATAAATACTGATTGTCTTTCAGATGGTGGCACAAACTGGGGAAATCTTGGTCATGCTGGTAAGCCATGAAACCTCTGTTCTATCATTAGCCGTTGCTCACATTCATTCTTAGGTGGCTACACATCTTACGACTATGGCGCCGCCATCACTGAAAACCGTGAAGTCACTCGTGAAAAGTACAGCGAGTTGAAGTTAGAAGCCAACTTTTTGAAAGTCAGCCCTGCATATCTCACCACATCAGTTGGTCCAGCTGCCAATGGCACATATACCAGCAGTAACTCCATCACCACGACTCCCCTTCTTGGAAATGAAACCGTCACAAACTTCTATATTGTTCGCCATTCAGATTATCAAACTTTGGCTTCTACAAACTATAAGTTGACTGTTACTACAAGTCAAGGCGCTCTTACTATCCCTCAATTGAACTCAAGTCTTACTCTAAGTGGCAGAGATTCAAAGTGGCATGTAACAGACTATGACATCGGGGGAACAACACTCCTTTACTCTACAGCAGAAATCTTCACCTGGAAGAAGTTTGATGACAAGACCGTTTTGGTCGTATTTGGTGGACCAGGAGAATCTCATGAATTGGCTGTGGTTACGAAGAGCTCAGCACAAGTTATTGAGGGCTCAGGTGTTACAAGCAAGAGCACCAATGGGTCGACGATCCTCAATTGGCAAACATCTACTACACGCAGAGTGGTCAAGGTTGGTAGCGTATTTGTCTACATTTTGGATCGAAACACTGCGTACAATTATTGGGTGCCAGACTTTGCCAGAACCGACAAATGGGGTGCATTGTAAGTGTTTTAATCTACTTTCGGTCCGACATAGCCGCTAACACAAAATCAGCGCTTCAAGCATTAAGAATACAGATTCCGTCATCGTAGAAGCAGGTTACCTCGTTCGATCTGTTTCAACCCAGGGCTCAGATCTCCGTATTTACGGTGATCTCAACGCTACCGTCCCATTCAAAGTAATTGGTGCCCCTAAAGGAACCAAGAACCTTTACTTCAACTCCCAGAAGGTCTCTTACAAGACGGATTCTACAACTGGTGAACTCTCATCAACACTCACCTACACAGCCCCTAAAATCTCTCTTCCAACCCTTTCAAGCCTCTCTTGGAAATACCTCGACAATCTCCCTGAGATCAAATCTTCCTACGACGACTCAGCTTGGACAGTCGCCAACAAGAACTCAACAGCCAACCCCTACCTGACTCCTCTCTTGACCCCAACCGTCCTCAATGGTCCAGATTACGGTTACAGCACCGGAGTGTTAATATTCCGCGGTCACTTCATCGCAACCGGCAATGAATCCACCCTTTACATCTCTACCCAAGGAGGTTCCGCCTTCGGCTCATCCGTCTGGCTCAATTCAACCTACATCGGTTCCTGGGTCGGCGCCGACTATGCCGAATCCAATAATTCTACTTACACTCTACCCAACCTAAAAGCTGGCTCCAAATACATATTCACAGTCGTAATCGACAACAACGGTCTCGATGAGAATTGGACCGTAGGAACCGAGGAAATGAAATCTCCACGAGGCATCCTAAACTACGTTCTATCCGGCCACGCTAAGGACTCCATCACATGGAAACTCACCGGAAATCTTGGCGGAGAACAATACATCGATCAAGTGCGCGGTCCATTGAACGAGGGTGGTCTCTTTGCCGAACGTCAAGGATACACACAACCTTCTCCTCCTTCTTCATCATGGAGTTCTGGATCGCCGCTGCAAGGAATCAAGAGCGCAGGTGTCGGATTCTGGACAAGCACCTTTAAATTGGATTTGCCAAAGGGTTATGATGTACCCCTCGCATTCAATTTCGGCAACTCGACCACGACGAACGGAACCAGTGATTACAGAGTCCAACTCTGGGTTAACGGATGGCAGTTTGGAAAATATGTTAACAACGTTGGACCGCAGACCAGCTTCCCAGTGCCACAGGGTATGTCTTACCCATTTCTCCCTTCCCCATTATTATCTCTCTCATATGCACAAAGTTACTAACTCACACTTCTCCGCAGGAATCCTAAACTACAACGGTCAAAATACCCTTGCCATCGAACTCTGGGCTCAACAATCCTCAGGCGCGGCATTGACCGATTTCTCATTGACGGCTGGAACACCCGTTCTTACGAGTTTGAAGGCCCCTAGTTTGGTGCATAGTCCGGCTTGGAGTAAGAGGAAAGGTGCTTACTGATTTGAGAGTGGGATTTTAGGGGGGTGAGAGAAATGGATATAGCAGCGAAATAGTACTGTATGGAGGAGGTATTAAGTATATATACATACGAGAAATTATACATATTCAGCCACTTATGTACTTGTTGTCAATTCCCACCCACAATCTAGTTGGCGCGACGACTTTCATCCGTGAATAATCTAACAAGGAGTACTGTACGTAACAATCATGCAATAAGAAAAGAAACACGACAGGCTTCAGACAGTAGTCTTCGTAATAGGTATCAAAATTGAGTATCTGGCTCTTTCGCCCAATGCTACATATCCTTTATATCGCTAGCACAAATGCACAAATGCATATGATAATGTACAAAAAATCTGACAAGATGCGATGATTTGTACAATTCCCTCATATTCCTTCTCGATCATCTGATTCAGAATCTATGAGCGACGTAGAATGAGAGTGAAGATGGCTCCGACAAGCACTGCTCCCCCAGCGGCACTTTCTAATGCTATGATCGTTATATCTCTTTTTGGTATCGAAATTTGTTGTGTACTCCATGAATCTATTGCCGCAGCTTTCCCGGCTTCCATTTTTTCCTTCCAAGATTCTACGTTTCGGTAATCGAATGCGGGTTTAGAATAAGGTATGCTCAATTCTGCAGTATCCATTGCTGCTGCTGCTTCGCCGATTTCCGGAGCTGGCTCGTTATTTGATTCGTGATGTGATACTTCACCTTCCATTACAGCAGCTACTGCTTCTACCGCCGGTTCATCCAGGGCCTTTTCTCCAATCTCTTCTTCCAATTCTTGGACACCAGATGCGACGATCTCATCCAAGCTTACTTCTGAACCCTCTCCCCCACCAACTTCAGCACCTCGTACAGCTGTCGACATGGCAAAGGTCTTCTCTTTCTCTAATGCCTCTCTCACTTTGTCTTCGAATCCTGCAACCAATCTTCTCCTTCTCCATGGTTCAAATCCAAATTGAAATACCAAGAATAGCAGCACGTTGACTCCCATTAGTCCCCATGTTCCCCACGTACTCATTCTTCGTATCTTGTCACTCCAAATCTGTTCCTCATGATATCGTGATAATATACTACTGCTCAATTCCCCCGCTGCTTTCTCAGCTTCGCGTTCTGCATCTGCAAGTCGAGTAGCTGCTTCCTGAACTGCCTGCTCGTTGGTATGATCCATACGATACAGATGTGTAAAACGCTCGAGATCGGCAGGTGTCCATGTATCTTTCCTTGCTAGTAAAGTTGTAACCTCACGTTGAGAAGAAGCACGGTCTGCGACGGTAGTTTTGTAGTGTAGTCGAGTGCTTCGGACTAGGTCTTTGGAATTGGCAACTTGGGTTTCGAGATCGGTGATTTTGTTCTTGAGGGCTTCAATGCCGGAGTAGCCTGTGAGGTCGTTGATCCGTTGAGATGCTATGAATATGTTGCCTTGCATATGATCCATGAGGTGGGATAGTTTCTTTGTGACTGCCAGACGTCGACTTTCGAGTGTGGAAGGGAGCTCTCCATCTTTTTCGGGTTTGGGAGAGGAAGAGACATCTTGTTTGCTGGACTCGGGAGTAGGAGTGGGCTTTTCTTCGACTTGGGGTTTGGGTTCTTCAGGAGGAGGTGTAACAATAGGTCGAAGATGAGGAGGTGGTTCTATTATAGGTCTTTGATCATCTGCAAAGTATCGCCGCAGACTAGGAGAATAAATTCTACATTGTAGACAGATTGACGATTTGACCGAAGGTCGAGGAGAGATTCTTAAAGTTCTCGATATGGAGACTGAACCTGAGTCGATTGCAAACCGAGGAACGAGTCTTGTCAATGGTTGCATTGCAATTGACAATTGACTGTCTTTCCTCCTTTTAGTGAGGAAATTGAGTCGAGCTGAGGACTTTGTTTCTCTCTTTTCTTTCCTTGACCTTTTACCTTACATCAAGTGAGAAAAGAGAATATTCGGTCAAGATTCCCCAGTGGAGCTCTGACCCAATTGATGGTGTTGTGGGCTTTGACAACCCTGCTCTGCTCGCCCTGTAAATAAAATGGTTAGGGACCTTTAGGGTGTCTGAGGGTGTGTCTGATGGTGTCTTCAGTGTATTTCTTCACCGCTTTTATGATGATGTAGAGTGAATTTACTAGGTAATGACTGATAGAGGGGCAAACTCGGGGTATCATTACACTGATCGAGTTTGAGATTGTAAATAAATTTATTTGACCCCACTACGATAACTTTATCATCATCATCATCATTATACAACCAACTTCAATACATTCATATACAATCATCAATACATTCAATATACCGTATTATTTGTATATAAAAGGATTCTGTTTATATTTCATACTTTTGTTTGTTTATAGACTTCTTGTATTCCTTCTTCCTATCAATGTAAGTTCGCAGTCCCAACAAAACTCAAACAATGGCGCTGTCTATCTCATTTCAACTTCCTACCTTTCATCCTGTCTGCCAACTACCAGCTACCAACTACCAGCTGTGCTGCCATTGATTCACATTTCCAAGACAAGTCGACAAGAGTCAGCATCAACTGCTAATAACATCCCCCAGACCTCATTACTCTTTCAACCTATTCAAAATGAGATCAACTACTCTCCCCGCCATGCAAACCTCCCCTAAATATATCTTCTTCACCGATTTCGATGGCACAATCACAACCCGCGATTCCAACGATTTCATGACAGATAATCTTGGATTCGGTCAGGAACTACGCAAGCAAGGAAACAAAGATGTCCTCGATGGTACAAAGACCTTCCGCGATTCTTTCCAATCAATGATGGACAGCATCAAGACTCCATATAGGAAGTGTATATCAACTCTTATCGAAAACATCAAATTAGATCCCGGTTTCAAGGAGTTTTTCGAATGGGCAAGAGAGAACAATATGCCAGTTGTAATTTTGAGTGGTGGAATGGAACCAATTATTAGAGCATTGTTGGAACATCTCTTGGGGAAAAAAGAAGCTGCCGAAATTCAGATCGTCAGTAACCAAGTTGAAGTTAGAGAAGGATTCAAGAGTCTTGATGAGGAGGGAGGCTGGAATATTGTCTACCATGACGAAAGGTATAGTCTTGGTCCTAGGAAAAAAAACCTACTGAAGACAAAGCTAATTCAAAATAGTCATTTCGGACATGATAAATCCAGAGAGATTAGACCATACGCCGCACTTCCAGATGATCAAAGACCAACCATGTTTTACGCTGGAGATGGAGTTTCAGATCTCTCGGCTGCTAAGGAGACTGATCTTTTATTCGCCAAAAAGGGTCATGATCTCATTACCTATTGTGTTAGAGAAAAGGTTCCATTCACAATCTTTGAGGATTGGACTTCTATTTTATCAACAGTCAAGGATGTCGTTGCTGGTAAAACGACTGTTAAAGAAGTCTACGCTGCTGGTATCAAGGACTTCGAAAGTGAAAACAAGGCATAGACTAAATTGGGCTCAAGATTTTGTCCATAGAACATAGACTGTTCATTAGAATTAGAATTATAGAGATGCATATAAGAACATACAAGTTGCTTTCTCTCTTGACACCTTCTCCAGAGTAATTGGCAAATGGTATTATATGTATCTATTGGCTCACATTTTCCTATTTCATCTTCATTTTCCAGGCATATAAACCATTTTTACGAGCTCTCGCTTCTCATAATCACCCTCAGCAACTATAGGAACCCTTCCTAATTCCTCGAAACCAGCAGCAAGATATGTTGGCTCCCCCATTGCACTCGCCGCCAAAACGAGGGGTGCATTATCACGTATCGATCTCTCAATGCCCCATTTCAAGAGTTGAGTAGCATAACCTCGACGTCGAAAGTCTGGAGGAGTGCCTAACAAGTGGAGATAAAATTCATTGCCATGGAACATCTCAGTAAATTCCTTTCGGGTATCACCAATAGCTTTCATAAAAGCTGCATCATAAATGGGATCTATGTCTCTCCGGGTTTTTACACCAGCTGCTTCCATTGCTTCTCCCGCTTGATGAAGTTAGGTTCAAGGGCTTGAATTGAACATATTGGGGAAGAACCTTACGCGTTGGTGGATTATATGTTTCTCCTTTTGCTTTGTGTATCCGGCTATTCACATATGAAGCATCCCATATAGACAAAGCAGCGAGTTTCCAAACCGAATCCTCTTCAACTTCCAAAATCATAGTTAGGTAGTCTGGGAACTTTCCAGAAACCATAAGCTCAATGTAGAGACGAGAATACTTGAATAGATCTTCGGGATATTTATCACGATTGATGTATCGATATCGCCATGGTGAATCAGAGGTTAGGGACGCAATCATGCCAATTCTGATGGCATCGATATCTTTGGGCTCTGCTTCACGAATGCGTGATTTCGCAATGGGTTTTGAAGGGGGTGTTGCCATTATTAAAGCTAGGAATTGACGCTATCTCGCCAATGTAAAAGGGGTAGAGTAGTCGGGTGAGAATTTTTGAGAGTTAATAACCCAACTTGTTGATTTGTTAATGTAATATAGATATATAGGGAGATCAAGAATAGTTGTCTAACATGCATGCTTATATTCTGGAAAACGTATGACTAATCTGCGACCATCTGACTCATATATCCAGATGGATGCCTCGTTCATCCCACTTCTGACAGATATGAAAGGGTAAGCGAGTCATAGTTGTTTCTACTCATATTTCAAACTCAGAATCAAACAAAGCGTCCAAGTCCTCAAAACAGCTAAGGCCGAAGGTAGCCTGATCGTTACAAATATTAGGGAGTCATCGCTTCGATATGGATACTTATCGGGAATTGTGGGCTAGAGGAAGAAACATTCACAAGGCTCAGGTTGGCAACAACCAAAATACAATCTATGGCAGAAGTTATATAGTCTCGATCCTGGATTCGAAGTTATTAAAGGCGGAGGGGCGGGATTTATCTGGTAAATATGCTTGGGTCGGCGGGATTGTCCTTTCAACTACCCAAACTGTGATCTGAGCTGAAACCCGTTCAAGTGGCTCGATCCAGATGATCTACCAATGACATACTTACACGCAAGAATATGCTTAATATGAGTTTCGCATGATAGCAATACTATCCTCGAAGTGAATATCACTTATGCTTGTTCAGTAACACTTAGCTCAGGTAGCTCAGGTACCGGAGGGTTCCAGTGTGGTCGAAAGGATACCTTTATAATTATGGAAGGTTTGCCGATGTCATGTTGTGCGGGGTAAATTTTCCCCAGACCCCGAGACTCCTTGAATGTTTCAACTATTGGCTTCTCTAAGGAGACTAAATTCACACAAGCACGACGGCGTCATACGAGCACAAGAGATTTCTGTACCCGTAAACCGAAATTACGCACGATAATTCTATGTCATACAGATTACAAGATCATATGCGTAGGAAGGTCTACCGAAGAGAGGAGTATTCTTTGGTGATCACAAATGCGTTGTTAAACATATAAACTTACATTCGTCACTTTGTAACTTGTAAATATACATACTATCTCACACACTCCACTAATCTATACTCAAACTACTGTAACACGTCAAGATGGGAAGCATTGAAGTTGAAAATCCGATACCATCGTCCCAACGAGTCGAACCTGGCTCATTCCAATTGCGACTCGCCAACCTCCCTAAATCCACGGCTGAGAAATCCATCGATACTACGAAAATTGCTTCAGATTTCGTTGATCGCTTTAATCAAAAAGTCAACTCTGCTGACATTTCATCTCTTTCTACACTCTTCTTGGAAGAATCATATTGGCGCGATCAATTGTGTCTTTCATGGGACTTTCACACTTTACATGGCCCTTCCAAAATTCTCGAACTATTCAATAAAACAAAGGGCTCACGCTTAAAATCTATCGCACTTGATTCAAGCTCGGAGTTCCGATCACCAAAATTAACGCCGCTTGATGTTGATGGAAAGACGAATGTTATTCAGGCTTTCATAAAGGTTGAGACGGATGTTGGTAAGGGGGCTGGAATCGCTAGATTAGTAAATGATGATGGAACGTGGAAAGTCTTTACACTCTACACTTTCCTGGAAAACTTGAATGGCTATGAGGAGAGTGTAGGAAAGAAGAGGCCTTATGGTGTAAAGCATGGAGAAAAGACAGAGAGAGAAAATTGGTTGGATAGAAGAAATCTCGATAAAGATTTTGGTAATGGAAGCGAGCCGACAGTATTGATTCTTGGTAAGTATTTCAATTGTGGAGGATGGGGAAGTTCAGGACTTCAAGTGCAATATTAACATTCTTCAGGTGCTGGACAAGGTGGCTTGACAGTAGCGGCAAGACTTAAAATGCTTGGTGTTACATCACTCATGGTTGATCGAGAGGAGCGAATCGGTGATAATTGGAGAACAAGATATCATCAATTGGTCCTTCATGATCCTGTTTGGTTTGATCATCTTCCATATCTACCCTTCCCTGAGAATTGGCCAGTGTTTACTCCCAAGGATAAATTAGGAGATTGGTTTGAAGCATATGTGAGTTTATTAGAACTTAATGCTTGGACTCAAACTACGATTACCAACACTTCGTGGAGCGATCAAACCAAGCAATGGACGGTCACTCTAGAGAGGACCAGAAATGGACAGAAGGAAACGAGAATTGTTCATCCAAAAGTATGTTATTTTACAATAATCTTAGTGAATAATCACTAATTTCCTGCAGCACATCATACAAGCAACCGGTGCAAGTGGAGAGCCAAACTTTCCTTCTCATCTCAAAGGAATCGACACCTTCAAAGGTCGAGTGGTTCATTCATCCAAATTCCCTGGAGCAACCGAATCTCGTGGTCAAAATAAAAAAGCAATCGTGGTTGGTTGTTGTAATTCTGGTCATGACATTGCTCAAGATCTATATGAACATGGTTATGAAGTGACCATTGTCCAAAGATCAACTACATATGTCATTAGCACAGAGACAAGTGCAGATGCTCAATCAAGTCTTTACGGAGAAAATGGCATTCCGACTTTTGATGCCGACATGGTCTTTCACAGTATGCCGAATCCGGTACTCAAGAAGTTGAATGTTGAAGGTAGCAAGCAAGTGGCTAAGATTGACGAGAAACTACTTCAAGGTCTCGAAAAGGCTGGATTCAAACTTGATAAAGGACCAGATGGAGCAGGTCTTTGGATCAAATATCTTCAGCGTGGGGGTGGCTATTATATGGATGTTGGCTGTTCTCAACTTATCATCGATGGAAAAATTAAAGTCAAGCAGGGTCAAGAAATTACGGGACTTAGAGAGAACGGTATGGAGTTTGCAGATGGGTCATTCATCGAAGCAGACGAAATTGTATTCGCAACAGGATACCTGAATATGAGAACACAATGCAGGAAAATCTTCAGAGATGAAGTGGCGGATAGAGTTAAGGATGTCTGGGGATTTGACGAAGAAGGGGAAGTCAGAACTATCTGGAGGAAGACTGGTCATGAAGGATTTTGGTTTATGGGTGGAAACTTGGCTTTGTGTAGATGGCAGAGTAAGAGGTTGGCGTTGTTGATTAAGGGATTGGTGGAGGGTATAACGAAGTATGATGATATCTGAGTTATTTGTAGCGACGGCGACCGGATACATAATGGAGTCGATAGCTTTAATTAATGGAATATCCAATTATCAAACTAATTTAGAGATGACTTTTTCATTTCCTCAAAGGTTCCAGTTTAAGTTGACATGTCGGGCCACTTCTACTGCATATTCATTCATATTCAGGAAAGTGGTTAAGAAATCAAGAGCCTCGTATTTGAGAAATTGGTAATCCCGTAAACATTTATCGAGCTCATGTACTCGAGTATAGCATATAGACCCTACCCCTTGTGAGCCAGACCTTGATAGAGTTTCCAGTCCCCCTTCCTTCCCCCCCGCCCAAATTCTCTTGATGTACATCCAAGTCATCATATCAGAACAACAACATGTACATGTACGGATTACTCGCATATCCATTCCGTGCATTCCCGTGCCCAGCCGAATGATGCCCGACTAATGCATTCCATCCGCCTGTCCCCGATATCGCCCCTCATATCCATCATTCGAACAAATCTTCATAGAACACCCCACTTCATTCACTACACATCCAAATTGAAATCTTTAATATATAGATACACAAATAGTGTCCCTTCATCAAATAACCAGGTCGCTTAGCTCAGTTGGTTAGAGCGTGGTGCTAATATCTGTTCTGTTCATTCAGATAGGTTTGGCACGCCAAGGTCGGCGGTTCGAAACCGCCAGTGATCAGTTTTGTCGTTTTTTGCTATTCAGGTTGACGTTTAGGGAGCCGGAGGTTGATTTTTGTAAAATCTGATGTTGTGTTTTCATCTGTGAACACGCCAATCTTTCCAGGGGAGAGTTCATTCCTCGAAGTGATTATCAAGTTTTTTTATCCGTTAGGAATTATTACATTCGGTCGACTCCGGGTATGAGTGAACTTGTAAATTGCTTTCTAGCAATGTTTTTAACTCTCATAGTTGTCAATTTCATTTTGTACTTTGCATGAGGATTCTCTGGGTTCTAAAACACTTGAAGATGGTAAAGAATTGAAGGAGTTATGGTGAATTGAAATTTTGGAGGGGTAGTTTTGGGGGGGACTACTTGTGGTTGGTGGGGGTGGTGAATCGAGTCAATAACATTCTACACATCAAGAAAAGTAGGGAGAGCCAGAATGATTTTCATCACCCATAAATCTCCACATTAAAAACGAATCTTTTTGTTCTTCTTTTCCCCGTAGGAAAATAAACAGACAATCACAGCGAATTTAAAAGAGATTCTGCTCCCAGATGAAAAAGAGCAAAATGAAGATCAAAATGACAAAACGACATGTGCAGGATTTGAACCTACGAGGCCGAAACCATAAGATAACCGAATTATTCATTCAAGTCTTACCCATTAACCACTCTGGCAACATGCCGGAATCGGGGAAGCAATTTACTTTATTTGATGAACGATCGCTGCTTAATCAACATACTATAAGTATTGTAGATAGAGAATAAAATCTTTGAACTTCCTTTCCTTCTTCTTCTTGACTCGTCATGCATCGGTTGGCCCTCTATGGATGTGCTATATGGATTTTATGTAGATGAGACCATCTCTCGTACGAAGAGAGTGTGATTTACACGTCTAGTATAACCTAGCACACGTCTACAATGACTACAATGACTATCTTATTAAGTAGCAAAATAAAAAAGAATAATGCACAGACGATTCACACTTTGCAACAAATCAGTGGACAATCCGTGAGTAGTAAGTAATCCATTCTACAATCCGCTACAGTAGTATATTTACAGTCCAAATAAAGAAAGGTACGCTGATGTGAAAAAGTCACCATTAATATATCCTATATTGGGAGGACGTTGATCATGTGACTGTGCTACCGGCTTCGTAGCCTTAGCTTTTAGAACCTCGAGCAATATTACAACAGTGTGAGCCATTGTACTATATTGTCTTCACCATTCCCAAGGTGATACCAACATATATATGGTCGTCTACACTATCTCCTCAGCAGAAGATGCAAAAAGGATCAGTAAAGCTCCACAGGACCATTCGGAGGGGGGGAAGAATCTGTGCAGTTTTCCTTTCCACTCGATATAACATCCTCGAAAGCAAAAGAACAATCCGAAAGGGCCTAATCCGGGATCGAACCGGAGACCTCTTACATTTTAGATTCGGAAACCCAAAGCAAGAATTCTACCACTGAACTATCAGGCCTATTGATATGTCGGAAGCTTGATATTCTAGTACATGCATCAATAGCAAATGGAGACTCCATAGTTAAGCGAATTGGTTGGCCCAAGACTTCCTGGTGGAGCTACCCACACGGGAACTGTAGAACGACTCCACCTAAATGATTCTAGAAGCCTTCTAAATCGCTACATGATTTTCACTTGAAATGGCGTCGTTGTTCTTAAGACGGTTTTCTTCCTGGAAGTCTCAGTATTGCTCATTCACTATCGAATGTCATTCATTTCTGTGTTCTAGTGCTAGAAAGATCATTGCTGATGCTAATTGATGATTGCTATTTGTTATCTGCTTCTACCTTGAGATACGCGAGCTTTACAATTATCTTGATTCTACTGCATCCATTGTCTCTAGCAATCCTATTGTCAGGGCATCAGAAACCCTTTTCGCGTTAAATCAACTTGAAATCAATACATGTTATCATCAAATGACTGACTTCATCATCTTCGTTGTCTCGAAAGACACTGTCTTGCTCTTAAAAGCAACTGTACAATCAAGCGTACCCGATGACCAAGTGGAAATACACCAATCAGTCTTGAAATAAAAGCTATGAGACACTGGAGCTAGCGCGTCCGAACAGGTGAAGCTCATTTGATATACAGATTTATTCGAATGATCTGGACTTGCAATATGGTCCAGAAAATTGATTTATCATATAGGTGTCTTCACGAATAGACTAATTTGAGCCTCGGGCAGATTGTCAAATAGTTCGGACTGTGGTCCAATAGTGAAAAGATTTTGAACATTCAACTTCTTCCAATGAATTTTACATCATTTCAAAGATGCAAATAGTTCTGTTATCGAATTGGTATAAGATAATGAATGCCTGAAGTCGGCAATCGTATTTTAGACCCTCAAAACTAAACCCTTAACATGAACCGCAGTCCGTACTGTTGAAAAGACTGATCTGGAACGAGCTTCTCATACATTGATTTAAGATTATAAGTTATTTGATCTCCATCAATTACTACAGTCGTTCTCTACTATGATATTGGATTGGGATCTAGTGAGTTCAACAGGGTTGATATCAATATATTGCTACTCTTCTTATTCACAAGAGCTGGTTGTGCAGCTTGGCCCTAAACAATTTTCATCTACACTTTAGTCATACTATTTCGATATGATATCATGGTAGGACAGATTCGAATTCGAACGCGAACGCTGTCAAGACACAGGCCATGCATTGACATTGTCCAGTATTTAAGGTTAACGGCAGCACTGAATCATCATTAGATCTACGATTAACACCAATTCACTAGCTTATGTTTCGTACTTTAATTATTAAGACTCCGAACTTACTTTATGTGATCCTCAACCTTTGTTCTCGTATCAAAGTAGCGGCGCAGGAACGAGCGAAGAAAAATGCCAGAAAATAATCGAAAACATTGTACCTTTTCTTAAAATAGAAAACCTCTACTTGCATACCAGAACTCAATCTGTCTCGGGTCATCAGATACCTTCTCCATCAAGCAATTGTCAAGATACATTGTCAAAACTATATCTTCTCAAACATGACGTCTAGAGAGGAGATCAGGATTATACCCAATCCCGATTAATGCTGCTTAAAAAGGCAATCTAATAGATACGGCTATCATACTGATGGATTGCTTGTTGAAAAGGGGAGTAATCTTTTGTCAAGATGCCAACATTGTAGAGCTCGAATAGCTTGGCTTTGACCCATTATATCCATCCACAATACGAATATCCGATCGAGAGAAGGAATACACTTTGGCGAAAAGCTTAGAATATTTGATGGTAAATGGCGAGATAGGAGAAAAAAGGTTCAATGGAGTACGAGGTATTGCGAATGATTGAAATAACACGGAGCCAACCGTTTACGAGCTGATAAATGTTTAGGTAGCGTGGTTCAGAGAAGACGGTTTGCTAGACACTCAGAGATCCTGCACGAACGGGGCAAATGCCTTGCTGATATTAGGAGATCGATGATGACTACGACAATGGAAAAACTATCTGAGATTAAGGCAAAGGTACATAGGTATTCAGTGCTAGCGTTTAAGAGGATCCAGACTTTCCTGGAGAAATGTCGGTGCGGAAGTCACAATGAAATAGTGTCGCGCCAATATCAATATGAATGCAGAAGATGCCAGATTCTACAAAAGATACACATCTAGCCGGTGCCCGGCAAGACATACAGAATCAAGATACATGGCAGTTCTCTAAACAGTGTCTTGGTGTGGAGACACAAGGCTCAGCTTCTGCGTGAGCAAGGATTATATTCTTCTAGAAGTATTCTAAGCGTTGATCACCAGGCTGGTCAGGATGATCGTTCGCCGCAAATGCACAGAAATGGGAATGCCGCCACTGCTCTACCAGGAAGTATTCATTATACCTGTATTCCATTGGTTCTATGATCACTCTGTAACTGTTTTCGAATTTATGCCTACCCCGCAACCCGTAATAAGTTCGCCAGCCTTGCATCCCCATCCCCTCTCGTTTTCTTCCCGGAAAGCGATATCCGTATTCCAAGACATCAGCACCACATTATACTTCTGAAATATTTACTATGTCTAGTCTTGTTTGTGACGTAAACTTAATCAGGCAGAGTATAATATTTCTTGGCTTCATGTATGGTGACGTCGATTTGATTCGCTGAGCCTTGTGATACACATTTACATGCAGCCATGGTGTATGAGTTGAAGAACAGTATTTATATTAAAGTCGTAAAATTCCCAAAATAACTTTAGAATAGTATCGAGATAGATCAGAATATCTAACTGCAAGTATCACGATGGCGGCACGAGAATTTTATAATCCCTCTTCACAAGCAATGCCAGGTCCAGGTATATTGAAACCAACTGCTGAATATCCTACATCGGCATATCATCAACAAGCACAACATGATATAGCAATGAATGAACGATCAGCATATCCGACTCCTGCTGTCTACAACCCACAAAGTTATTCACAACAACAATCATATTACCCACCTCCACCACGAGCTATGGACTACAATTCTACTCAACCTCCAGTTTACGGATATCAAACTCCAAGTCAACAACCTCATCAAAGGGATGGACGACATCAATACCAGAACGTAGAACCACACTCTTATCGAAACCTCCCCCCTCATCTTCGTCCCCGACGTTCTATATCTGAACCACCCGATCCGCATTATCTAGCCCAACACATCCCCGGCTACCATCACCGCGGACGTTCGACATCTTCCTCTTATTCTTCCTCGACCGACAGATCGCGATCACGATCGAGAAACCGTGCTCATTCACATTCGCGAGCTCGATCGACAAGATCTATGAGTCGATCTCGTCATAGTCATTCACATACACACTCACGAGTATCCAAGACTCGAGCTCGGAATACTCATAAAGATAGAAATACATTTTTTGGAGCATTTGGTGGGGGGTTGATTGGGGATTTGATAATGCCTGGGTTGGGAACGTTGGGGGGAGCGATATTGGGAGGGGTTGGAGGAAGGGAAGCTAGTAGGAGCAATCGTAAGAATGAGAAGGGCGAGAAACCGGAAAGGAGGAGACTCTTTGGAGGAAAAACATATGAGGAGGAATGGAGGGAGGGAAGGATTGCGAGGGGCGAGATAAGTGGTTGATGGACAAGGGTGTGAGAATTTGGAACGTGTACAAACGATCTAGAGATACTTTCCTTCGTGTATTATTATTTTAATAAGATACCATTTGTTGTCGCAATGTTTTAGTCTCGAGATACCTGTATATCATACTCTTGACCATCAATTTAACCTGTTGTGCTACATGCAGCATGTATGTGGTTGCCATCCTATGGAGGTAGGAGATTACTCCCCATAACGCATTATTCTTTTGCAATTTGTCGAAGCCAAATCAAAGATAGATACCTTATCAGTGGTCTAACATGCAGTACGAAGTAAAGAAACCGTCAATAAAGTTGAAGATCTTCAAACCCCCGGGCCTTGCGGGAGCCAATATTAGTTAGCTTCGCTTAGCCTAGAACTAGCCCCTTCATTCTCCACCAAAGCGTCCAATTAATACCCATCTCATCTCCACTCACACCCTCTACCAAATTCACAGAATGGATTACGCAGAAAATATTTCCATTAATCAAGAAAGACTTATTAGCAAATCGAGATTCATTCATCACCAGCATCATAAATGAAAAATGAAAAACTAGCATTCAATGGACCCCAGATTCATCTCGATCACGCCCAAACAACCTGCAACTTTACAACGTTGTATTCCTAGGTATCCATCAAAGCTTGCCTCTTCATTTTGGATTAAAAAAATAAATAAATGAAGCCTCTGAGCAGAGCAAAAAGAAAGTGATCACTGGCGGTTTCGAACCGCCGACCTTGGCGTGCCAAACCTATCTAAATAAACAGAACAGATATTAGCACCACGCTCTAACCAACTGAGCTAAGCGACCGAATTATTGGTTGATTTGATAGAAAATATCAGGTTAGGAGAATACATGTTCAAAAGTCGGAAGAAGCCATAGAGAAGAAATGAAAGAGGGTGGAGGTGGTGTGGGGACAAATAGTTGGTGGGGAATGAGTGAACGTAGATGAACGAGTCGATGTAATGGAAATAAGACGCACCTGGAGGCCTCATCATGTTACCCTGGAGTCCAATTCTCCATAGACCAGCCACGATAGACATAGAAGTTGTTTCATTCACACAGAATGAGAACCAAGATGATGCGAACAGCTAGACAGAAGTTCATGATAAAGGGTAATATCCATTTTTGAATAACTGCTTCTGCATCGAAAGCAGATCAACAATAATGATACATGCTTCGTCATATACAATAAAGAGAGAATGCTCCTCAAGATGGTGCCCCAATAAGCAAAGAATAATAAACAGACGCTCCAAAATGCAAATTCGTATACTCATCCTATTTCATTCCAAAACGAGTGTGCGCAATTGTGTGATACCTTATGCGCCAATGCTACTTCCGTTCAACACTGTATAGAAGAAGAATAAATGATAAGTGTAACTTTCACTTTTTGGCCTTTCTGCTACGTTTCTTGGGCTCTGCCTTTTTCTCCTCTGGCTCTGGTTTTGCTTGTTCCTTTTTTTTTTCTTCCTCCTCGTTTGGTTCCTCTGTTTTTGGCTCCTCTTCGTTTGGTTCCTGATTTTTGGATTTCTTTGCCGCGGGCTTCTCTTCTTCTTCAGTCGCTTCATCATCCTCATCCGCTGCCTCATCACTGACGATCTTTCTCTTCTCTGCTGCGGGCTTTGGATCTAACTTTTCTTGTTGTCGAGCGCTACTTCGCGTTCCCTGTCTTTGTACCTTCTTTTCCTTCTTCGGGGCAGCTTGTTTCTTTTGAACGGGTGCCTTCTTCTCGACTTCTTTCTCCTCTGTCTTGTCGTCCGACCCATTTGCTTTTTCATCAGCGGTTTCCTTGCCATGGCCATTCTTCTCCTTCTCGGAATCTTTCAGTTCAGCAGCTTTCTCCTCCTCGGATTTCTTCTCAGGTGTTCCTTTCGTGAGTTTGTCTTTAGATCCGGGTTCATTTTCGTAATCACCTCCTTCAGCTTCATATTCTTGACCGATCTTTTTGGCCTAAAGTGATAGTGTGTAATTAGTATATGGCACCACGTAAGAAGAGTTTGAGATAAAAAGAATGATGGTTGAAACCTCGGAATACTGGTTGCTATGGGATCAGATGACTTACCTTCCATGCAGCCATCTTCCCTTTACCACTGCCATCTTTATTCGTTTCTTGCTTTACTTCTGTTTTGGTAGTTGTTAAGAACGGATCGGACACAATCAAAGTTGGGGGAGATTTCAAAGGGGTCTTGGGATCACGAGGGGGAAAGGAAAAAGAAAGTTCTTTACTTTCAGTAATGTCCTTCTTGAGCTCGGGATCAGTTGGCTTCCCTTTAGCAGAAGGCATATTTGCGATGGCGGTGATATGAATCCAAAGTTATATATAGAGAAATTGCCAATGATAAATGCGTCGATGAATGAGAATTGTATACACATGAAAATATCCTTAATTTTAATTACGGATGAAAGATAGATGGAATTTTGCAGAAATGGCATAAACAATGAGATGGGGAAAGAGCGAGGTTGGGAAAGAGGAGAACCAAAATCAATGTCGTCAGTGTATGGCGCCTGCACCTGCAAGGGATAAATAAAATAGGGGCTAAATATAGGCTTGTCTTTGTTTTAACGACGTGGTGGGATTGTGTGCGGTATAAGGTCCAATTTATGCTAAGTCAAATACAACTTGTTACTTGTGTAAATCATTTACATGCAAGTAAAGAGGAACGTGGATTGCTTTGCCCAGATGTTCTCTACCAAGTACAATTAAGTATCAATGGTTGAGCCATGGATGTTCCTGTATTTGACATTGAATAGATGGACTGAAGCCAAGCACCTTTCACCACCATTCCTTACTGGTTTCAGCTCAAAATGCTTGGATTAGACAGGAATGTGAAGTTACTAGATGGATTTCCCTCATTGACTTAGGTCGTCCACGCCTGAGGTCAATTAGGTAGTTGGAGAGACTCTGATCATCGAATCGCTGTCAAATCTTGTTCCTCGAGTGAGAAACCCCTACTGGATTAGATCGATTTTTTCACCCATATGACGCTTGAAAATGAAGTTCATACACGAACGCGATTATGAAAAGTATTATGACCCTCGTTGATACGAGTACTTTAAAATGTGCCTATCTCCCCCTCTCTCTACTTCTGGATCTTCATTTATTCTCACTCTGTTAATCAATAATACCTTAACGAAGCGGTGACATACCTTGCCTTAAATGCTGAGAAACATTTGTGGTACAAGGGAGCACTGGAGTATACGTAAGATGGCAATACCAGAGGAATCTGCCATGGAATCGAGGTGCACTGCATGAGATGTACTAGATAATTGAATTGCGATGGCCATCTGTGTTGACTGACCTAGTGATTCAGAGAAGCTCTCCTCGCATGATTACCACACTGATTCCTACTTCCAGACTTTTCTGGCAATTTTTATTGACTTTGGTTTGGTAGAAGTTTGTCGAGCTACACATCACATTAGGCAAAGGGGAATGTGTTTGGAGCGTGCTGGATATATTATGATTCTTAAAAGCGTTCCCAGGATGAATATTCATAGAACATTATTCACTAGAAATAGTGTAATGAGTTTCTATCCCGCCTCATACTTCACTATGAGAATACAAGATTAGACTGAAAAATAATTACAAGCGCCTCGGCACGGTACGACGCGTCTCCAACACTATCGACGCGTACAACACTTCAGTCTATCTGAATGCTATTCATAACTAAACAACTTTGATGGTGCAACTTCAAGTACGGCAAAGGAAAAAATAGCATCAAGACCTTGTTAATCAACACAAGATGACGCATCGACTTCATTCCGAGTCGGCAAAGAAAAGGATGTCAACGATCAAGAATGTCAAGCCAAAGCCATCTTACGAGGAGTAGGTTCTCTCAGCAATCTCGCATGACACATATCAATATTGCCTTATACATTAGAACATCACATCTAACAAAAGTTCAACAGCATGCTCGATAGTCCCATAATAGACCTCTACATCGGACCCAAACGCAAGAAATTCAGCATCCACCGCGGACTCCTCTGCGCCAAATCCCCCTTCTTCGCAGACATCTTCCTAAACAATGATGAACTCAGCGAAGAAAAGGAAGACCACTATCTACCCAAGATTAGCTCGGAACATTTCTCCATCATAATGAAATGGTTATATCGCGGTACTCTGGACGCCGGATTCGAGAACGAAGGAAATAAACCAAGTTGTGCAGCAATAGAAGTCTACGCGTTAGCGCATCAATTGGGAATGACGGAGATGATGGATAAAGTGTTGACGGGATTAGGAAGAAGATATGTGGAGAAGAGATTTACGCCGAATGTCTTTGCAATTGAGTTAGCGTTTGAGTTAACGGAACCGGTGGGTCCCAAAGATCGGGACTGTGGACTGAGGAGATGGATGGCAAGGTGGTATGCTATTATGCTACTTTTTCCAAAAGGAGTTTCGTCCACGGCGGGGAATAGTATCTCGGAGGATAGCTTAGCTGATTTAGGTTTGAGATTTCCGTCTCTGTATGAAAGTGTGGTTGGACTTTTGAGAGGGTCAGAGGGATGGAAGGATGTTAGGACTAAGTTCTATGACGAAAAAGTATGTTCTTTTCATGAACATGAAGCTGGGGATAGAAGCTGTGAAGATGTTGGAAAGTTTTGGGGCATTTTCAGAAGTAAGGAGACCGAGGCTGGGTGGATGTCAGTGAGTAGAGGAAAGGTTTAAGAGGAACTTGTACGGATGTAGGGGTAAAGTTTTTGACGGCGCATTGGGTGGGAAGATGAGGTACAAATTGATATCAAGCATGACACCCGTCTGGATTTTGAGCCCTGGATATGTAAGAGTTGGTGGCACGACTGCTTCAAAAAATTAAGATACCATTTCGTTAAAAACCATTTGCCCAAATACAGTAAAGGTTACATATGTAGATAGCTGTATAAAGTTTACTTCACCCAGTATCTGTAGCCAAGTGGGGGGCTACGAAGATACATTCCAATTCCAGGTTAAAAGTATGCTTGCTTGCACGGCGACGAAAGAAGCTTGCAAGTCAAATACGATTGTTCTTGTAGATTCTTTTTGGGAGGAAGTATTTGACGCCTAGTGTAGGTCGCTCATATCAAAAGTGCTTGTTGGAAAATGCATGGAAGAATTTCACCAATTAGAAAAACAAACAATGTCGTAAATCGTCTTTTGTTGAACGTGCAAACCTTGATCTATGAAAAGGTGCATTATCCCACCGATATAGACTGCACAAACCGCACTGATATCGACCCCAAAAAGCGCAAAGAGGGGAGAGTTCCGCAGTCGCAGTAACACCACCAAATACAAAGTATCTCCATGTCGTAACATTTAGAAATTGACCACCACGAGCCAATTGACCACACATAATAGTTATGATCTCTTGGGTATCCTGCCTCCTTCCAAGCCGTAGTCCTTCACCTCTCTATCTCCCCTTTACTTCTTGGCTGGATACTTGGTCTTGAAAAGGTACGAGCTCAAGTAATAATCTCCTACAGCCAAAGCACCCACAACACCAGCCCACGCACCCACGACCTTCCATGTCAACTCTCCCTTTGCGTATTTTGAATATGCTCCGAATCCCAATCCAGTGCTCAATGCTGCGACGGCGATCGCATTTCCAATCACGACTGGGTTATCACTGTTCTCTTGAACACGGCTCTTGCCCTTCTTTGATTTCTTGGAAGCGGCATCCTTTGCAGCGCGAAGCTTAGCCTCGATTTGTTCAGCTTCTTGCTCAAGACGATTGGCTTGTGTCTCGGTTTGGACTGGTTGTGATTGGAAGTCTGAAGGAACAGTGTGCACGGAATCGGTGTCGACGTCAATTAAGGAGGAGGTGGAGGCACTTTCGGTGGGGATGACAGATGGTGGGGCAGGAGCACGTTTCTGTGGTGGGATGATTAGTTCTTGACCTGAATGAGTGGTAAATATCGTCGGAGGTAGAGGGGATTCCTTTGACGACGATGAGAAAGGAGACATGGGTTGAGAGGATACAAGGTAAATGTAGAGGAATTTAAGAGAAATTCAAACATACCTCCTCATCAGTCTGTTGTGGACCTGAAGCTGCTGCTTGTGCGTAAGACATCTTTAATATGATATGACTAGGTATGATAGGTGGAAGGATGTAAGTGTGATATAGGAATTTGCGGGTGGCTTTCGAGAGGATGTGAATATATCAAGATGGATGGTTTAAGTTGGCGAGAAATAGAAGTATGTAAACGATAAAATGTCGTGTGCGAACAAGGGAAACATGTGAGAAACCGGGAAAGATTTCAATGAAGGTGTGGCTATGGCTTGGATGTGGATGTGGCTTAAGCTGGATCTTCTCGCTTAAAGTGGATTTTCATCTGTTGACGTAGGCGGCTCAAATGGATTCTAGATTCTAGACTCTCTCGACTCTACGAGTAGATTCTGGTACGGAACCATTCATACATAGGTAGGTACGACAAAATCACCAACAGGGAAAACGTCGTAGCACAAGCGATACAAAGACATGTTAATTCCGATTTCAATGTAAGTTGTCAGTTGTTGACGATGTCCAGAATGATAGCAATAGCATTTTTGTACCGGTATATTCCCTAGTAAATACTAAATGCTCTAAAATCATAGAAGGCTCTTGTCATCAAAGCTTTCCAACTCTGGGGAACAAAGAATCACAACACTTACCTCTTGCATACTATACTTCCTATCTAAAACATAGGTAAAAATCAACACCATTCAAACTATCATGAGTTGAGTTGAGTTTTCATATATCATACAGAAGAACAAGAATGCCCAATGGTTTCGTCTTTTTTGGTATTACATTTGTACAATAAAATTACAGTCTAAAAGGACTTATTTCTTTGTTGTAGCATCATGAGCAGCTCGTGGTAATAAATCTCCTCCCTCATCGCCCGAATTTTGTGTAGGCTCAGGTGTTGTGCTGTTTCGGCCATCCCTGTGTTTCTCTTCAGTTGAATCCGAATTGGACTCGGTAGCTTTTTGTGTAGTTGGCTTCGCTGGCTCTGATTTTCCTTCAGACTTCTTCTCGGATTTTTCTTCGGGGTTTTCTGATACTGCGGCCTTTTGAGACAACGGTTCCGAGCCACCCTCTCCTGACCCATTTGCCGCTTCTCTTGCTCGAAGCTCCTCCTCTATCTCATCCTCCTCATTCTCCAATTCTGATGCATACATCTCTGGATGAGCTCGGAAGCAATCTTGCATTCCCCTAAACATTGTTAGTCCTGACCGATCGTCGATGTTCTAGACCCGCAGACTCACTTGAACTTTTCTATACATTCAACACCCTTTGGCTCTTCAGTAGAGTGAACAAAACAGCTAAACGCAGCTTTGAACTCCTCTCCACAAGGTCCATGTGCCATTCCTCCCAAACAAGGACAATCCCAATTGATTTCACCAGTTTCCGGATTGAATGCGCCTTGTTGGCCAGCTTCATCTTCTAGTCCTTCCATCTCTCCTTCCTCCTCAGCTCCACCTTCTGCAGCGACTGCTTTCGCGGCCGACTCGTGTTCCCTCTTCTCTTGTTCTGCTGCTAGTTCTGCTTGTCGTTTTCGCTTTTCTTCAATGACCGCATCGAGAGTGGGTAAGTCTGATTCTCGAACTCTGTGTATTGATTCATCTAATTTTTGAATTGCTGTTGTGCCAATCAGCATCTCCTTGAGATTCGCCTCCTAGCTGCTAGTATTCTCATACCTTCTGGTTCTTCGGCGAAAACATTGCTCGTATTATACCAATATACTCCTGCACCTGCCAATGCCCATCGTGCAGCGCTGCTTTTCCAACTTCGGGACTTTTGTGAGGGTGGTGCTGTGCTTAAAAATCGTCGAGCAGAAGTGGTATTAATGACAGATTTAGATTGTGGTCGTGAGCCTTTCGGCGCAACTCTCAAAACTGATTTGAACATGCTGGGCTGAATTCGAGAAAATGACTGTGAAGATGAAAGGACTCAAACGAAATATTAGGAATCTCAAAGAATAGCAGACTCGAATATGAACGCCGTGTTTGTAAGCATCTCTGGATTTTCCGAATCACCGAATCACCGAATCAAGAAAATATCTGGATCATGTGATTGATGATAAGATAAGGTATTGTCGCAAGTGTAGGTTCTTAACTTTCTCCTCCCACCAAGCAGAATGTCTACATGTGTTCTCTTGCTTCCTTATTGTAGCCCCCCATGATAACAGCGTTAAGTAGTTTACACTGCTGGATATAGTCTATTTGTCTTATTCTCTTTGCTAGGACTTTACAAGCTGAAAGGTTAATGGCCAAATTCGTCTCAGTATCTACACACCTAGAACCTTCACCAACGCTATAAAATTATGGGATCCCAAGATTTTGTCACTTGGCATCCTGCTGATATATTCTCTGATCATCCAGCCGATCATAAAGAGTTTGCGCTCGTTGTCCTAAACCAGCCTTTGGAGTTGCCTTCTAACATCTACAAGAAGTTGTGGGATAATGCTGTCTACCATATCGCAGCTGATGGTGGCGCAAACCAAGTTTACAACAGGAATCACAAAAAGTCATTCGATGAAAATTCTTTAGACCCAGCCCTCCAAGATGAAAAAATGGCTGGAACCTATCTTGACATTGATACTATCATTGGGGACTTCGATTCCATGTCTCCCAATCTCTTCAAATATTTTGAGGATAATGGCACCGAAATCATTAGAGACGGCGATCAGTATTCCACAGACTTTACCAAAGCAGTGCGATATGTTAAAAGTCTTAAGCAACCTGGTGGCTCGGAAAGAACTCCTCCATGTTCACATCGTCAGAAGAAACTCGATCAACTCAAGCAGTTACCCAGACCTCTCGATATCATTTGCCTGGGAGGTTTAGGTGGAAGAGTTGATCAGGCTCTTTCACAACTTCATCATCTTTACATGTTTCAGCAAGAACCAAACTATTCCAAGGGCAAGATGTACCTGGTTTCTAGTGAAGCCATAACTTTTGTTCTCAAGGCTGGAAAACACAAGATAAAGATCAAGGAAGAGGGCAAATTGCTGAAATTGGGAAAGCACATTGGAATATTACCGGTCAAGGAACCTTCGATCATAACCACGCAAGGCTTAGAGTGGGACGTAACAGATTGGAAGACGGAATTTGGAGGTGATATAAGTACTAGCAACCATGCGAGGGAGGATTGGGCGACCATTGAAACGACGAAGGATGTTGTATTCACCATCGATTTTGTTCTCAACAAGATGGATGAATAAGACCAACTTCGTCTGGACGGGCGATTCGATGATCTCAGGGCCTGAAAATAGAGGATTGAACATAATTTCACTGCCCAGACCCTAGATTTGCCGAATACTCTCCAAGACGATGTTCGCAATGTGGGATCAATCTTGTTTATATTTTCTACACCCCTCATTGTCCAGGGTGAGCAATGAGGTGAGACCAGTGTGCTTTAAGTCTTGGGCGCTATTGTTACCCATTAGTCTGACGCGCCTATATGCGCTTCTCCTAGATACCCGTCCTGTCCATTAGACTCCTAGAATATAAACTCTCAGTTGTTGTATATTTCTCGATTGCTTGTTTAACCTTACCTTTGGTGACAAATTACTCCGTCACCATTTACTTTACGAATAAAAGGTTTCTATAAAATCTGTAGTAATTGAGTCAAACCCCAAGCTGACAACAATATTAAGTGTTTATACATATATCCATCCTTGGAATGATTTTTTATTTTATTAATACTGTCAGACCATACTTGATCCAATGTCTATCAGATCTCTTTTCTCTCTTTCTCCACGAAAAACCCCATGTTGCCAATGGCCCATTGCCCCTCCCTAAACTATTCTCAGGTTAGCTCCTTCCGATAAGGTTAAGCCCACCATCCCGATAAGCATGTAACAACCAAATTTTTCTTCTTCCCGATATTTTTCCTTCAGAGTCATATTCCATTTATTCCAACCTTTACAACCCATATTCCTTTTATTCAATCTTCACCCTCGCTCTCCCATATATCCTCATAACTTCTCACAATCTCCTAACAATAATTCAAAATGGCTTCTACAGCTGCTGAGATTGAACCTCACAAGGTTTATGACACCATTCTCACTCTGGATTTTGGATCTCAATACACCCATCTTATTACCAGACGTTTGCGTGAACTCAATGTCTACTCTGAAATGCTTCCATGTACTCAAAAGCTTGCAGATCTCGAATGGAAGCCAAAAGGTATCATTTTGTCCGGAGGACCATACTCAGTTTATGAGGAGGGTGCACCACACGTTGACCCCGCATTCTTCGAACTTGGAGTTCCTATTCTTGGTATATGCTATGGAATGCAAGAGATTGCTTATAGAATTAGCAAAGACAACGTCATTGCTGGCACAGCCCGCGAATACGGACACGCTGATTTGAAAGCAAAGAAAATTGATAATGGACATGTCGACCAATTGTTCGCAGGATTAGAGGACGATGTTAAAGTCTGGATGAGCCATGGTGATAAGTTGGGCGCATTGCCAGATGGATTCCACACTATTGCTACAACTGCAAACTCTGAATACGCAGCAATTGCACATGAGTCTCAACATATCTATGGTAAGGGAATTTAGACCTATCTATTCAGAGAATCCTCCCCCTGATCCAAAGCTAATTAAACTCTAGGTCTTCAATTCCACCCCGAAGTTACTCACACCGAAAATGGAATTCAACTTCTCAAGAACTTTGCCGTAGGTATTTGCGGGGCTCGAACAAACTGGACTATGGCCAAATTCGTGGATCAAGAGATCGCTAGAATCCGTACATTGGTTGGAGAGAAGGGTCAAGTCTTGGGTGCTGTCAGTGGAGGTGTTGATTCAACTGTCGCTGCGAAATTAATGCACGAGGCTATTGGAGACCGATTCCATGCCGTTCTCGTCAACAATGGTGTTATGAGATTAAATGAGTGCGAACAAGTGCGAAAGACATTGACAGAAAATCTCGGCATCAATTTGATTGTCGCAGATGCATCTGAAGATTTCCTCGATGGCCTCGCCGGACTTGATGAGCCAGAAGCAAAGAGAAAATTCATTGGAGGAAAGTTCATTGATGTTTTCGAAGCCGAAGCCAAAAAGATCGAAGACGCAGCAGCCAACTCTGACAAAGCAGGCAAGATTGAGTTCTTCTTGCAAGGAACATTATATCCGGATGTTATTGAAAGTATTTCATTCAAGGGCCCTTCCGCGACTATCAAAACTCATCACAATGTTGGTGGTCTTCCAAAACGCATGACAGAGGGTCAAGGACTTAAACTTATCGAACCCTTGAGAGAATTGTTCAAGGACGAAGTTAGACAATTGGGAAGAGAGTTGGGCATTGCCCATGAACTCGTTATGCGCCATCCTTTCCCAGGTCCAGGTATTGCCATTCGTGTCTTGGGAGAAGTTACTCGTGAACGTGTCGAAATGGCCAGAAAGGCCGACCATATCTTTATCTCCATGATCAGAGAGGCAGGCCTCTATGATAACATTGGACAAGCCTTTGCAGCTGTTGACCCAAGTAGAGCTGTTGGTGTTATGGGTGACAAGAGAATGTATGGAAACATCATTATCCTGAGAGCAGTTCAAACAACAGATTTCATGACTGCCATCGCATATCCTTTCGAGAATGCATTCTTGTCCCGGGTTTCTACAAGAATTATCAACGAGGTTCACGGTGTTTGCAGAGTCGTATATGATTACACTAGCAAGCCACCTGGAACTATCGAGTTGGAATAAATGTCAAGTTTTGTGTTTTAGGCGTTACCTTCGTACATGTATACCTTTAGATTATAGATACTCCAAATTGGTACTAAGAATGAAAAAAAAATCAGAAATTACAGGTAAAGAATTTGAACATTATGTGAGTTTGTGATTGTATGATGAGCAGTTGATATTAGATATTATCATGGCTTGAGGGATATTTCACGTCTGGCCAATCATGAAAACAGGACACCGCTGAGTCCACGGCTGAATGTACAGGTCTCAAGGTGTACCAAAGTAGGTAGGTAGGCACAAGCCCTCGTACATACAATCAACATAGATGGATAGCCAAGATATTTTTATGTTCACCAAATATAGATACCTATGCAAGGTTGTCCTTAACTTCTAGGACGATGATTTGTTAAAGAATGATTACCTAATCTTTCAAGATAAAGTTCAATTATTATAGATACAAAACATGAAATCATATATTCATTCAGTCTTATCCTTGGTGAATGTTTGATTGTTTCCTTTCCTTACATCTCCATTTTTTCCTATGCACAGCCTCCTCTCCATAAATCCTTCCAGCCCATTTGATCATCTCCTATCTCCCTTTTCCCAACACCCGAAACAGTAGCTCGACATCTATGCGCCTCTATTATGCTACTTTATACAACAAAGACCGGGAACGATTATCTAAAAAGAAAAAGAGAAAAAGACTCTATTGATGAGGAGCCATTCCGAGGGAGTTGTTTCCTCCGTTGAATGCGACGAATTGAGACTTGAACATAATGTCACCGTAAATTTGAAGGTTGGAAGTAGTGGCTTGGAGACCTCCGAAACAGGCTGTGAGGAATTAATGTTAGCATATTGTCCAAAAGGAAAGAAGATCAGGTCATAACTTACTGGTACCAGTGTTATCAACAGGAGCATAGTTGATATCAGAACCACGGACAGTAGCCATGTAGGTTCCTCCAACATCGATAGCCAAATCTGGTAAAGTGGCAGCGCAAGGGAATGTGACACCACCGACAGTTTGGTTGTTGACAGCACCTTGAACCTTGCTATAGTAACCGTTGACGATGTTGGCATCAGCCAACATGAGAGTGGTTCCGGTATCAGCGATAGCTTGTCCGTTTGGTACAGCGGTCTCGGGACCTCCTCCAACGGAAAATTTACCGGAGCTGAATTGCCAGAATCCTTGAGTGGTGTTGACAGCAGCCCAGGTGAGGGATCCGTTGAATTTGGTAGAATCAATGTTTCCGAATTCGTAAGATCCAGCAGCGGCTTTGCGGAGATCGGCAGTGAAAACTGGTTGAGCGAGACCTTGGGACATGGCGTTATCGAAGAAAGTCTTCTGTTGAGCGGGCTTGACAGTATTGAGCTTAGAGAATGCGAGACCGACAAGTCCGTTAGATTGGGTATCGGAGACAAAGGATGCGGAGATTGCGGTGGCCATCTCAATTGCTTGTCCAGTGACAGTGGCTCCTCCAATGTTGACAGTGTCTGTACCAACGTTACCAGCAGCTCCGGATCCATCACCGTATGAGATGGACCAAGTAGCACCTTGAATTGCCTTGAAGCTTGTTGATTTGGAGGCATCATAGTTTTGGTGACCAGATTGGGAAGCGGTTGCGAGTTGAGTGCTGAAAACCCAGAGATCGGATGATCCACTGTCGAAGTCCATGTTCATGACTTGTCCACCAATGTTGACTGGCGACAAGTACTCAACATCTCCACTCTCTGGTGTAGCAGTAACAAGACCAGTTCCTGCAGCTGCGCTACCACTACCACTTGCGGCGGCGGCTACTGCCGTTGTGCTTCCAGTGGCGGCTTTGGAGTTTCCTTCTGGGAAAGCAGGGTTGGCACCTGAGTTCATGGCCGCGACCAATGATGCTGGGAGAGTCATGGAATGCTTGTTGTATGCTTTGATGAGAGCTCTTGTACCGGCACCAGCTGTTCGACCGACATAATTAGGGTTTGCGACACGCTCGACTTTGAAGCTTCGCTTTTGTGCTGGGTGTGGAGCGGCGAGGACCAAGTTGATGAGTGCGAGGACATAGAATGCTTGAAGTAATGAAGGCATCTTGAATGATTGGTAGGGCCACGCCAGGTGGTTGTATAAAAAGAAAAGGGTGGTTGGCTTGTGTGAATGAAAGACTAATGCGATTGCTTGAGATAGACCAGACCACAAGAGAAAAGAAGATCGCTGGAAAATATGAACTGAGAAAGAAAAATGGATGCCAGCCCCAATATTATTATGAAGGAAATGTAAACAGATATATGAACGATGACTGGAAATGCAACTATAAAAAAACAAGCCAAGAAACCTGGAGTGTTCCGGGTATGGAGATGGATAGAGATAGAGAGAGTAATGGAAACTAAAACGAAAACACGCGGCTTTTCACGAAGAATAAGTAGAAGAAATATGAAGTTTGCGCATGAAGCTTTAAGACTATTTGACATGCAAGTTTGAAGACAAGGTTCAAACGCCAAAGCTGGATGCCAGACACAAGCTGCGGCATAATGGTGGAGAATGATACTTATTCAGGAAAAGTCCCTAACGTCTTGAGTAGCCGGGTATGCGTGTTTGATCTTTCTCCTGGCCTTCATGGCGTTGTCTGTGCTTTGACGAAGGCTCTGGGATTGACATGACTTTCTACTTGACCCTTGTTCTGGATTGTACTACTGCATGGTGGGGATTTTGGTATGAAAAAAGATTTTAAAGGTACGGGGTTATGGATAGTGGAAGTGGAAGTGGAAGTGGAAGTGGAGGTCGTGGGTTGTGAGAAAAGGTTACAGAAATTGTATAACTATACCTAGACAGGAATAGTCACATCCAGTCATGTCTGAATACGGAGAGTTTGGTAGATTTTTTGGGCAATCTGAAATTGGAGACGGTTCGTAATTGGATCGTATATGAAGAGCCCTGGAAAGTCACAATATGGTAGACCCAAATTCGTGAAATGGAGTTGTACAAAGAGGCAAAATGATGGTTAAATTAGTAATGTTATGGACCCTGTGAGATTCAGGGGAGCCCTAAAATATCCTGGAACTTGGCAATGTCACCGGCGACGATTTTCTTTGGTTGATGAGGATTTACTTTTAGGAAAGTAGTCTTTGAAAATCATTGAATTAGCCTCTCTGATTCGTACTCAAGTGGCTGCTGATTTTCCATAGGGATAGACTTAGCGTTGAGGCTGACGTTTACCTCAAAGACACCAAACTTTTTGAGGGCGACGGACTCATTCATAGTTCAATGCTAAAGGATATGAATGGAAGTGTTTAGCGATGAATGTCTTAGTACACATTGATTGGTTCCAAACTTGGCACCATCTACTTCCCCCTGAAAATAGGGCAGTTAGAGCGGTTTGGTAGATTGAAATTTTTTGAGCCAATTGTATTTGAAGGATTCAATGGAGAGCATCGACTCATATGTTAGATTCCGTTCGTTTGAGATACCTAGAACTTCGAATATATTCTTCCGAAATCAATACCGATCATTCGGGGATTCCAGAGCACTGAATGTGCCGATACCAAGAGAATACCAAGAGAAAGGGCCTCTGTTTAAATCACGATCAACTATTTCCCCATGAATTTGTATGGAGTTTAATACCTACTCTCGAGCTACTTTCACATCAGTATCACATTGAATGCCCAGCAACTACTATCTCTCTCCCCAATATAATTCTTTGCTTGGTCGAATCCATTTCCAGATCTCTTCCGTAATGACATACAGATTTAATCATGTCTTCCGTGTAATCACAATAAAGGCTACCCGACTGTGAACAATAAACTCGAATGATGCTAAGCTTTTCGATACAACTCCATTTTTGAATTCTCAGATGGATGCAAAACGATGGAGGCGCCTATTGATATCCAAGTCGACTCGGATACGTTTCTTCATTCTTGGATTATCTGGATGTGATTGTGCAATGTTTCGAAATTTCAGAATATACGGTAGGAATTTGATCCGCACGCCACTGCCGTGATCAGATCTAGAAACATCATTTGTGTCGATTGGATTGTTCTGGCTACTGAAGGATTTCTGAAGCCATTATAGTGTATGTGTATACAAAGCAGAATGTGTCATCCTTCAAGAGCTAAAAGACTTGTATTTGTGTCATCTCGTCATCACCTTCGCCTACCTCCTTCATCACATCTTAAAATTTTGGCGCTTCGTTAACTTGTTATGATTGTGGCCGCGACATAGCGGCCAGTACTTTTGAAATTTATAAAAAGACAAGGATTGTTAGATCTCATCGGTTGACGAATTAAGTCTACAGGATCATAAAGTGAAAGCATCCCCCCGCCATCCAAGCTTGAAACTAGATGTACTATAATCTGAAACGTCAGCTCTTGGCCACCAATGATCAAATCGGAGCGTGTATCTGAAAGGGGTTTGCGAATTCTTGGAAATGTCTCGCGTTAATTGGATAACGGATTTTCTTTTTCTTTCCCTATATTCTTTCTTCATGAACGGAAAAATACAGTTATTACTAAGATATGTAGATCCTTCGATTTAGTTCTTTCTTTCGCTGTACAAAATTACATGGAGGAGTTTCTATATGATTTCATATGACCTCGTATTATAGGGACCGGTTCGAGCAATGGTATCATGGTACTGCGGTATTTCTTTTCGTGATCTTCGATTTGCATTGTTCATGACTTGCCTGACTTGCTTATTTGATTTTGAAGTCGTACCAAAACAGCCTTCTCCTCGTTATGTTTTTTACTTTCTATTATTCCTCTTAATCCTTCGCTCCAGATTGGTAAGTTGCCATCATGCCTTTATTATGATATGATCCTGTCTACCAAAAATGATCTTCCATACAGAACTAGCCACTCATCTCACTCAGTCTATTCCGTCTTCGTTGTGCTCTTAGTGTGCATTTGGAAGAGAGATTACGTTGTGCGTGCGTGCGTTCGCTTCGGAGGCCCGGACAGGCCACCATCTCACCAAATTATTGTCAAACTGTTATCGTCTCTAAATCCACCCCATAACCACTCACAGTGGTTATCATACAAATGCCACGAAGCATGCGTATCCTTGACTGAGTCTAAGATTTGAATTTGAAAAGGCAGATCTATTGAGATGGGATGAGATCAAACGCCGAGGTATATCCTCGTGCATTCACGCGTAAAACATAGCCTTCTATTGAAACAACAACACAGCTTGAATCCGCAACTGCTATGGCTGTGCAAATTAAGAATGAAGTTGATATGAATCAAAAGCTTGTTTGGAACCTTATTCGCGTACCAGAAAGCAGGGATATTATGTTACTATCGTTCGACATTGATCAAGAAGTATCGCACGCCTCCTTGAGTGTTTGTGTTGAGTGAGGGTCTGTTTCGTACTTTTGAGGCTTGAATGTTCTGGTTCGTCCGAGGACAAAGTTATCTTCTCAATCAATGTTTCATTGCTGTTGGCACATCGGCGGCAGAAGTATTCCGCGTAAGGTGTTTCTGTTTCGAAGGCTGGAGACTTCAAGTTCTGACTTCTCAATCATCATGGCTCGGATGAATCACAAGACCAATACAAGACCGTTCGATACATGTGCACAAGCCACCTTGTAGAATGTTTGTGATTGTGTAGTCTTGATCCAACAGGGCCCCGAAAGTCTTATAGTTCTTCAAATGCCAACTCATATCAACCATAATGTAAGCAATAGGTGCTACGCAACTGTTATTACATCGGCGCAGTTTTATCACGAACCCACCCCCGCAAAGCTTGATTGAGATGGCTTAGGCATGTACCACTCGTATCCGGTCTGAGATCTAATTATAGAGGTAATCATCTCTGCTTCACTGACTTTTGTAGCTTCCCCGAATACCATGAGGGTCGGAACATATGCCGCGGGGTCTAGTTTTGGGATTCGGAGAGAAATGGTGTGCTCGGATTTTATGAATGACTTCCGTCTCATTAACAGTTCCTTTGACCATGAAGATTTCTTTGGAGCTGTAGAAGCCTAGTAGTTCCCATGGTGGCAATCTTAATGATGAGTCGAAATTTCTCCGAATTTCTCTCAACTACCATTTCACCCAATCCAGAATTCGTCCTATGTTCGCGAAAGTGCAACCCACTCTCTCTACTCTATTGAGACAAAGTATTTATTTTGCGTCGATGTTTGAACGCCTTTATTCTTGACTAGCTTTGTCTTCACGGATGCTGTGGATCTTACTTGTTTCCGCGCGGTAGAGACATTATAGATCCTACCTTTGTGTTCATTGGATTCTTGAACTTTGCCTCGATCCTCCAAACTATATTTGTTTCGACTGATGGCCGTATACTACGCTTTCTTGGCAACGTGAAGACTCTTCGGAGTATCACGGGTATACGAGTCAATACTTGCCCGCCGGAAACCAATGTCGAAGGACCAAAGTCATCATTGGTTCTTCAGTCATATCTACCAAAATGGAAAGCTTTCTTCTGACGTACCATCTTACATTAGTAGGAGATTTTCAAGCTGTCGTGGGATAGAAGTATGAATTGGGCCAATCATATCACTGCCGCCTCGATATGTAAATACTGTAATATCTAACATTTAACTACGGCACAAGTATCCAATTTTCTTATCCGAACTTTGGGCTTCGCCACACACAGAAAAGATTGCTCGTCAAGGATTAGCTATCGGCAACTAGAAGGTCAGTTCGTTTTTAATTTGTAACGTAGATGTTTGCTCGGTTGTAGACGTATCCGAGATCTTGTAACTTTACTATTAGTGGTAAAACCATATTTGTTTCTATACTGTTTTGTTTCGCCAAGTTGTTCTGATGGTTTGATTCAAGACTCTGTCCTGCACTATTAGCCGGGGCATTGTACGAGCGTTGGACGGGGAGACGGAGTGTCTTTGAAGACTGCATGTCTAGAGAAATTCGTTTGTCAAATTGCTACCAACATAAACTATTGCTATATCCTATCATAACAAGCGTCCCGCCTTGTCTATCATAACACAACCATGTTCCGGCACCTATGCATTAACCACAGTCTCTCCACTTGGAAATCCGGCCTCATATTGCAACACCAATTTAACACCTGCTCCCGGTGCCAGCCTTACATTCCACAGAACTTCTCCACTCTTCTTCAATTCTGCATCGGCCGTTCCCCATGCATCGGTTTTTTTACTTCGACGAACAAGCTCACCTCCACTACTAGAAATTCTCTCCCTATCCCTATCTCTTTCCCGCTCCCGACCTCCTTGAAGCATCTCATCATCCAAGTTCAATCCCGTAGGAATTCTATCACCATCCGGTTTCAAACCTCGAGGGACCAAAACCTCGACTCGAAGTCTCTCTTCTTCGGAAACAGGCACCTGATCCATAACTAATAGGCTGACACCTCGTTGCATTCTCGTGTTGCGCAAGGACAAAGAACGTAAGAAGACATTGCTGTCTTCTTTTGAGAAGATCCCGCTTTGCGAACGTCGTACCTCGGGCTTGTTATACACGACCTTGATAGCTGGATCAACACCAAGATTCAAACTCAGGCTTTCACCAACAGAACATCTTGGGAATGTAGCTTGACCCAGAAAGCTGCCATCCAAATTTAATCCCACTGGGCCTGCTAACAAAGGAATTTTCGACGAATTTCGCAACTTGGCCTTGAGGAATGCAACGGTCCGGAGCTTAGGTATAACCACATGTTCAAATCCAATATTCTTAAACTCAATTTTCGCAATCTTGTGCTTAAGGACAGAGTTTGAAGGCATGAGGGTTTTAAGGCCAGGGAGATCATAGGTGGTAGACATGCCAGACTCTTCCCAAGCTCCTTCTTCGAATGTAAGGGTGGGTTTTGGTGAAAGAAGACGTTGAATTAGAGGGGTTTCGAAGGCGCCAGTAGGATCACCTATATCTGATCCAGGCGCGGAGACATTGGCGCTATGCTCTGAATGTATGAGAGGCTGGGTGTTATTAAGGAGAGGATTACCATGAGCTGGTTGATTGCCAGAGTTCTCGGCAACAGACTCGGAGTTGTTGGCTAGAGATGGACGCAAGGACCCAAATAAACCACCGCTAGAGACAGGATTTTGGGATGGAGCAGGGGCCCCAAATAAGCCACCAGTAGAGGCAGGATTATGGGATGATACATTAGATCCAAACAGAGCACCGGTGCTGGGTCCTTGAGATGGTGCAGTAGTAGATCCAAATCCCGCAACTGGAGGAAACAAGTTTTGTTTATGGTGGGCTGGGGCGCTGCCAAACACATTGTTACTTGGAGATCCACCTTTGTTTGCAAATATGTTGTTTGTCGGCTCGAATCCGAAGAGGAGATATCGAGGTTGCTGGAGATGTTGATTATTTTTATCAGCCCATTCCGTTCTCTTGGCCGCAATTTCACTGGTGCTGAAAAGAGCAGCTTCGGCATTTCTACTCCCCCCTTTCAGTAGTCGCACGTTCCATGGGGGTAAGGTTGGTATCGATTCATTAAAACTAGTGATGGATGTTTGAGAAGTTGAGAGAAGAACTTTGGCGTCGCGCCACGTTTCTGAAGTCATATTCTTTAGTTCAGCTGCATACTCTAATACACCCGTGCTAGTCAAGGTATTAAGACTGAGATCATAGCGTGGAGACCAAGACACTTCATAGGTAATGTAAGAAATGGAGAGACTGATGATATCTGTAGCCCGACGGCTAGAGACTTGGTAGTTGTTGACGGTCATGTCACTAGCTACCGAGCTAGGACGGGATGATCCAGATGTCATAGCAGAGCTCGTAGGCTCGATACTGATTGTGACACGATAAACTTTCTTTGGCCAGAACAAACTTCTCTCTGACTTGATACGTAATTTTTCCTTTGCCGACTCAGCATTCTTTCGAGATCTGGTCGCTTGAAGCTTAATTTTTTGCTTGAATGCTTTCCGTTGTGCCTTCGTTCGTGCTTTCGTTAATTTGCTCTTCTCTTTCATCAATCTAACAATTTCATCTTGCGTAACTTCCAAAGCAGCAGTTGCAGCTACGTGTTCAACGTAAATCTTCTCACGTTCATCGCGATATGCTTTGATGAGCTTCTCGAACTGTTCGGGCGATGGGGGATTATCGCGAACTGTAGCACCATAATCCTCACAAATCTTCAGACGACTCGCAACAGAATTGATCTTTTCGGTTTCTTGGGCGAGCAAACGGTTTACTTGCTTGATTTTGGTATCGACAAGCTTCATCGATTCATCTTCAGAGTCGGAGGAATCATCATCTGTTTCTTCCTCAAACTCTGAGTCGGATGAATAAACTTCTTCGTAAACATCACGATTAGGTAGAAGATCAACAGATACCTCAGTGATGGTGGCGGAACCGTTTCCTTCAACTTTGATGGAATGTTCATCGATGGTTGGAGCAAGTCCATCGATGATGATTTGATTCGTTCCGGTCTAAACTCGGTCAGCACAACGAACCACGGTATTTGTTCAAATTTCTTACCTGTAATGTGATATCTCTAATATCACGAACAATCTGCGCTCTGGTTGGAAAGATCAAAACACTTCGAGTGCTTAAATCTCGAACACGGAATTCTTGTTTGCTTGACATTTTTGCCCAATTTTCTGGGTTTGTTGTCGACGCGTGTTGACCAGTCGTAGAGTGGGGATTCCGCTGGGCACTCAGCTGTAGAAAATTTCACGGATAATGAGGAGAGTGCGATAATCAGATGTCAAAAGTAGATTTTGACGAAGAGTAGAGATGGAAAAAAAGGATGAGCAGAAATGAAAAGTTGCTTCTTCCCTCAAATCCTTATATTCCGTTCTATCGCCCGACGCTCAATTTTGACGTCCGATGTTCATATTTTGGTAGAATTTAGGGTATCAGTGGATGTCAGGCAACTGAAAGCTTTACCTTTTGCCCCGCATATTGATGAACTTACGATTTTGTGTGGCCAATCAAGCATTATACATCACGTTGGAAACCGCGGCTATGTTCCACTGCGAGGCAACACGAACAAGGAAACGATGTAAAAACGGAAAATGTAAGACAGAATGATGGTAACTCTTCGGTTGAGTCATATTTACTTGGATAGGCATGAACAGATAATCAGCCCGAGTTTGAAAAGTATAGACATCAAGAAAATTCAAAGCTGTAAGGGAGTATCTACTGTGTAGCTTTTATATAAAAATCTCTACGAAGTGCTCGAATGGCGGATAAGAAGAGGAGAGGGGAAAAAAGGCATTAGGTGTGGCGTTGTCCTATTCGTTGTTTGTGGCGAGTAATGATCTAGTATGTTTGAAAAGCGGTGAATCATTTCGTCGTGGCAGAATATTCCAAATTCACTTCTCCGGAGTCCCTCGAGCCCCTCATTCTGCTCAAAGATCAAACCCTCTTTTCTTAACCACTAGTTTAAACACTAGGTACCCCTTCTTCTCCTCGCTTGATTTATTACGTGTTCTTGTCAATTCTCTTCAAAGAGTGATGAAAGCTTAGGTCAATTTCAATTACCTTCCACAATACACGTTAAAGAAGTTGATGGTGAGTGCCATGATTAACAAGTTGGACTGCGTCATCAATTTGAATTTATAATCGAAAAAATAAGCCACAAGCCACCACAAGCACATTAGCAATCTGAATCCGCCGGTACCAATTAATACATGGGAACTTATCTGTACAGTTACGGAACAAGGGAACAACTTTTCTATGGTAAGATAGAGCCACAAGGATATATGATTAACAAATGCTCCCCTTCTCAGCCAATAAAATCACCATTGACTACTTTCAGTAACATCAATCATAGACTATGGGGAAATGTCCATCTCTAAGCACGAAATTGTTGGATGATGGTTCGTAAGCAGATGTATTTCTAAGCAGTTCTTAATGTTGTATATACATACAGATTTATCTCCATCAACTTGCAAGAGCACACGAAGAAGTCTTACAACAGTTCTATAAGTCTCATACCAGGTCCTTCTTGGATATTCACCTCTAAGATTCAGGAGATTTCCGTGATATAAACATCTCGTAGTAATATCAAATCCATTCTTAAGTCATCATGTCGAAAATTGTCCTCATTCTCGGCGGTGGTCCCAATATTGGGCTCAATATTGCTCGTGTTTTCTCATCGAAAGGATCATACAAGACCGTAATTGTATCACGAAATCCTAAAGAAGAGCTCATCAAGGCGGCTGATCTTTCTCTCCAAGCCGATTTCACTGACCCCACAAGCACAAACGCATTTTTGATGAAGTGAAACAGAACTTTGGAGTTCCAAATGTTGTTGTGTATAATGGTTAGTCTTTCTATCCTAGGATCGGGGTCTTGGTGATCCAGACTACAACTCGATTGTTCGAGACGATAAAAACTTTCAAGTTGCTCCATATGATGGATTCATACAAGATTGTTTAAGCAGTCTGAAATATTGAACACCCCAAAGCCAAACTAATGAAACCTACTGATGATTAGAAAAGCCGCAGCGTTAACAGTCACTCCTGATCCTCTCTCTGTGCCATTGGAAACGTTCAATGAAGACCTCAATGTAGTCATTACTTCAGCATATGCTGCTGCACATGAGGCTGTAGAGGGATTCAAAACTCTTCCTGAAGCTACTAATAAGACATTCATTTACACCGGAAATATACTGAATCGTCAAGTCATGCCATCTTTACTTGCGTTTGGCATTGGAAAGTCTGGTGCAGCCCATCTTATCCAAAGTGCTTCAGAAGCGTATAAGAAAGATGGATATAGGTGCGTGAAAATCAAACGGGATTGTGAAATCTGTATTAACACATCAAAGGTTCTATTGGGCGGACGAACGAACGACAGACGGAGGGCCTAAAGGCAAGGCAATCGATGGTAAAGCACATGGAGAATTCTGTTATGAATTGGCGACGAGTGAGGAGCCTTTGACTTGGGATGCCACTTTCATGGCTGGAAAAGGCTATGTTGACTTCAATGGAAAACTGGAATGATTGGGGATAAATCCCAGAGAGGACCTGAGATCGATAGAGTTAGCAAATCATTATTATGTGGTTCAGAAGGAAACGCCGAACGAAAATCCTTACCATTTGTCGCTAGGATCTAGGAAATAATCACTTTTCATTTTCGCAACTTTCATAGTGTCTTCTGGCTTACGGTCGCGTGAAACTCTTTGGTAAATAGGATACTAGTAGGTACTAATCATAATTGTTATCAGTAATCTTATCTCAATATTCAGAATCTCTTTGTTGATAAAACATTTTTAATTAGAATTCTAAATAATATCTTAATCCTTTTTATAGTAATATTATGGTTTATTAATGATCGAATTTTTTTTAGTTAATTAGGGATTGGGAAAAATATTTATTTTCTTAAAAATCTGAAAATATTTAATTGTATTTTTGATAAGAAACTTAATTTATTAAATAAAAGTATTTTAATATTATATTTTATTTTTTTAATTATAATTTCTTAAAAAACTAAATAGAGTATTCGAAAGAGCTTAATTAATATTATTGTTTAAATCTATATCGAATTAATTAGATTTGTAATAATAATATAAAATAATTTAAAAGATTTCTTTTAAAATCAAATAAGTTATTTTTAATAATTTTATTTTATTAATATTAATAATAAAAATAATATTAATTGAATTATTTTATTAAGCTGAATATATTATTAATTCTTTTAATAGTTTTAATAATATTAGAATTATATTATTAATAAAAGTTTAATTATTTTTCAAGTTTTAAAACTATTTGTTTTAAATTTAAGATATATAACTTTGAAATGAAAATGGATTTTTAGATCTAAAAACATTTAATCTCTTTGAAATCAATAATCTTAACTTTTTAAAAGGAATTAAAATATATAATAAAAATTACATTAATTAAAGGATTTTTAGAATATATATATTATTATTAGGAATAATAATATTAATAGATTTCGAAAAAAATGGATATTTAATTTGATAAAATATTAATTTTCAAAAATATGTATTCTCAATATATATATATATATATATATATAATTAAATAAAATTATTATAATAAAAAATATATTAAAATAATAAGAAAATCTATTTATATATATTAAAACTATATCAAAATAATACAATTATTAAATGATTTATAATCTTTAATTAAAAAATCAAAAAATAATGAATTATTGGTTTTCTTATTAAAACTGAAATCAAATTATTTCAGATTCTACAATAATAAACCTTCAGGAGATTTCTATCTCGAAATCAAGGCCAAAAAAATTATGTAATCATCGTGTGGTCTGAGGATGAGATAACAGTAATCAGATAACCATTTGAATATGATGTATAATAAGTATCATGGGTAGACCTCTTAGCAGTCCAAGTACCTTATCTCAATATTCAGAATCTCTTTAACGTGGTTTAACACCGAGTGTACCATATTACCGAATGCACCACTTTTACCTCAATTTGCGCTTTCTAATTTATATTATTCAACAATAATTGAATCAATTGATTGAAACTATTAAAAATCTAATAATCTAGGATTTATTATATTATTTTGATAAATTCTTAAATTATAATCTGGTTTTTTATACTTATTATAATATTGATTAGAAAATACTTTCTTATTAAGATCTTTTTTATTTTAATATTTATTATATTAAATCTAAATATTAATTTTTTATTAAAATATATATTAAAAGTCTTTTATTTAATAAATATTTTTTCTTAATATAATTAAGTTTTTTTTATATATTAATATTTATTTAATATCTCATTTGTTTTTTAAAATATATAAATCTTTATATCCAAAAGTATATTCTTATAAACTAATCTTTTTATATTTTTAACTAAAATTAATATAATCTTGAATGTAAATATAGAAAAGCTTAATTGATAATAGATTATTTGAGATTCAATTAATATTAATTAAAAAAAGAGTTTTTATAGAATTCTAAAATATTTAAAAGATATAAAGATTTAAATCAAAAAAAAAAGAATAAATATATAAATTCAATTATTTAATTTAGAAAATATAATTTCAGAATTAAATAAAATTAATTCTGTTTTTTGAAATTCAGTTTTTATATCTTGATTTGTAATTGATTATTGATATATAATTTTAAAAGCTATAAAGAATTCAATTTTTGAGATATAATAAATATATACTTTTATAAATCCCTTAATTTGAATATTATATTCTTATTTTAAAATATTAAAACATTTAATATCAAAAGATTGAATTAAATAACTTAAATATAATAATAAATATATATATTTAATATCATTCTTTTTATAATAATTCTAGAATAATATTAATTTATAGCTTTTATACTCATTTAATATTAATATTCTATATTTACTTTTAATTTGATTTTTTATATATTTATTAAAATATGTTAATTATTCTAATTTTATTTTATTATTTGTTTATTTATTAAATATAAATTTAATAATTTAATTTATTAAAAAATCGATTTTGATATACTAATTAAAAAAAAATATTTATTCTTAAATTATTAAAAATAAAAATATAATATTCCTCTTACTATTATTATATATAATTATTATTATTTATTTTCGATTATTCAATTATATTACTTTTTTTCTATTATTTCATTTAATATTAATTATAATTATTTCGGAATATATTATATCTATTATAAAACTATAATAATAATTGACAGATAACTTACATCTTCCTATTTCATCATTTAATATCATATCAGTTAACTGTACTAATACCAAGAAATTTGTTTTCAAATTATAGTAGATAACTTACATCCCCCTATTTAATTGTTTAATATTATATTAGTCATCTTAGTTAACAGTTAAAAAATTCAAGTCATAGATTACTTACAGGCTATTTTAATATCCAATATTATATTAGTAAAGTATATCAATATCAAGATATTTATATCGAAGTAGTAAATAACTCACAACCTAGATTATTAAATTAGCTAATACTGATAACAAAATGTTTATTTCCAAATAATAAATAACTTACATCTTTCTATTTCATTAATCAATATTGTATTAGTCATCCAAATTAATACTCAAATGTTTTCAAGTAATGATTTACTTACAGGCTATTTTAATATTCAATATTATATTAGATATAGGATATTCAGTGGTTATAGATTATCTAATAAATATAGATTATATAGAAATTACTATTCATTTAATAAGTATAGGCTAATTAGTAGGTATACGATGATTGAATGGGTAAGTCGTATAAAACGCTAATTGACCCCATATATAGCTAGGATATCAAAATAAATAGATTTAATTAATTAATTTATTTTATTTTAATACTACTTTTAAAAACCTATTTTAAATTAGTTTTAGAAAGTATTTTTAAAAATCATTATAAAAAAGCTTGTTTTTTATATTTTTTTAAAGTAAATATATTAAATTAAAAGAAGTTAATTTATTATTATTTATTTTATTATCAATATTCTCAAATATTAGATTTATATTATTATTTATTATATTACTACTACTTCCTATATTTAAATACTAAAAAATAACTCAAAATTAATAAATCGAAATATATATTTTATATTATATTAATATAAAATTTAAAAAGATTCAATCTTTTTTTTTTAAAAAAGAAATAAGTCTGATATATAAATAGATTTATTATACTATTAAAATATAAATAACTCCTCAAAAACATTTTGATTGATTTTTTATTTTAATTATTAATCAAATTAATCAATTTATTCAATTTATAAGTGAATTAAAAACAAATAAATCAATACTATATTGAAAAGTTGTTATTATATTAATTTGAAAAGAAATAAAAGAATTTACAATTTGATTTTATATAAAATAAAATATAAATATTATATTATTCTTCGAAAACTTTTTATATCAAAAAAAAATCAATAAATTCAATTCCAATTTATATTAAATTATATTCATTAAATTAAAGAATAATAGAATATTATTTTATAATTAAATAAAATATAAATAATTATAGAATTATATAGAAAAATATATATTATATATCAAAAAGATAAAATTCTCAATTCTATATATATATTTAAAAGAGAATATAAAAAAGCTAAATAAATATTCTAAAATTGTTTTTTAGATAAATTAGATAAAGAACCAAATATATTTTAAAAAAAGAATTAAGGAATTATTAATATTAAATCTTATTAAGTATATATAATATTTATTATTTATAATTAAATAAAATTAAATTTAGATTATATATTTATATAAAATAGTGTATTAGAATACTTTATAAATATTATTATTCAAAATCTTTTTGAAAAAGGGATTAAAAAGATAAATTGGTTTTCTTTTTCTTCTAATCTCAATTCTATTAAAAATGTATAGAATTAAATAAAAAAATAAATTTGGAATCATTATTCTATAAACAAATTAAACTATAAAATATTGAGAAAAATTATAAAAAAAGTATAGAAGATAGTTCTAAAGGATTATTTAAAGAAATTATTAAAATCTATAAGAGAATGTCACGGTCATGGACTAAAGGGCTCCATTAGGCACATGATAGTAAGCCCTCGGGCCTACCGTGTGCCGAAGGGAGCCCGCATATATATATAAATTGTATAGTTTTCATAAGTTTAGAAGAATTAATGAAAAGTCTTTGTACTACATTTCACCTAGTTGATTCATTACTAGTATCTACTCTAACAGAGAATATTACAAGGTAGTAATTATAATAAATAGAATATATATAAGATTTTAATATAATTAAATATATTCAGATATTTCTTTATAATACTTTAATATACTAAAGTTTATTATATTAATTTTAAAAGAGTATAACATGGTTTAACACCGAGTGCATCATATCATCGAATATACTACTTTTATCTCAATTTATACTTTCAATCTTATATTATTCAATAATAATTGAATTAATTAATTAAAACTATTAAGAATCTAATAATCTAAAATCTATTATATTATTTTAATAGA